CTTAATATCACAGCATTCAAAGTACTGGGTACTCTAAGCCTGCATACATTTCTCCTTCTAGCCTGTTCATTCCTTTGTCCATTAGAGGCTGGTTTTCTTGTTGCAGCTCTCCTGAAGAAGAGAAAGTTCAGAATGATGTGTTATTATTGCTTTAAAAATTAAAGTGGGGTTTGAAGTTTGCCTATACTATGCATATGCAACAAGCATGCGTCATATCAAATGTTCTAACTGTTGGAGGAAAACATTAGAAGCTAAGAATGGGCTATTTTTTTTAAAGGAAGGCCACCTTTGAACAGTACCATTTATGAAGTCCAGTATTCTGTGCAATCCAGTTAGTCTGCAGATGTGATGAAATTAATCTACTATATTCAGTATACACAGACTTACTGTTTTGGGCAGGATGAGAACTGCTGCCTGATTAGCACTTGGTTAGTGGACTGAAGGAGCAAGCTGACATAACTGTAATACATGCCACAGATCGAGCAGATTTTACTGCTAAAAGGGTCAAGAATTATGATGTGTACAGGAATACTAATCACTTTGTTATATAAATACATTCAGTTGCAGAAGCATCTCAGGCTCTTTATAAAATTGAGGCTGTAGTGCCCGATGTAGAAAGCACTGAAGAAGATATCTTTTCTAAAAATCCTTACCCATGTCTTCCTCCAGTTTTGCATCATCCTGTCATGCTCGCTGATGGCACTTCTCCAGGTATCAAATTCTTTAGTCCATCCATCCTGACCAGTACTATCTGAGAATTGTACATGGGGATGATTACATAAATATGCAACAATGAAGTAAGTTGGTATCTGCTCAGTTGCAGTACTTCCTGTGGAAGATTGGGCTAGAAGGAACAAAAGCCACCATCTTGTCCTTCATTTTGCTCTACCTCCTCCCATGTTATTTGGAAATAAGTTCTTTTCAAGTGGTTGTGCCTCTTCCGCTCTGCAGCAAACTTTATATCCTCCAGAGTAAACAGATTCAGTGCCTTTATCTGAGATTTGAGGTCTAGAAAATACAACCTGCAAGTTAAGAGTTCAGACCCATCCAAGCAGCACAGGAATGCTCCAATTAAATCATACCAAGCCTGGGGAGAAGAATGATGTGATACAGCTGACACAATGTTCAGTTTGAACTTTCCTCATTTTTCAGTAGTGTTATGTAGTTGGTTAATCTTCATTCCATTCAGAACTTCAGAAGGGCTAGTTTACTGCATCGTGATAAAATTCTATTTCTAATTCTGTCTGCCAGTTTTTCTTGAAGAATGTAACAGTGGTGGTGACATACATAGATGTAATATCTTCAATTTATCCTTCGGGACACTAGCAACTATATAATGCTTTTGGAACACAGTGAAAGCCTCCATCTGTTTTACATTTACAGTAGTTTCACTGAGATGCTCTTCATTCTGCTTCAGAGTCAGACTTTGATGTAACTGGAGTGATTGCAAGACAACTTGTGTAACTCACACTACTTTTCTCTGTCGCTGGAAAAAAGGTTTGAGCTGTTCTTGACAAACTCATGTTTGTTATTAACCAGTTAATTAATTTTTCGTTCACCCTGCCAAGAAAATCTGTACTATATCAACTTCATTGCTTCTGCTGTCTTTTTAAAGACTATTCAGACCTTCTCCAGGCCTGGGTAAGTTCTCAAAAGCTAGGTGCAGATTATGTGTAAGTTGCATCAGTCAGTTGTGGGTACCCAGAGATCTTGCACAGCTACTGAAGTTAGCTGGCTGACCAACCTCCTGCCCAGTTAGTGTCCAGATGAAGAGGTAGGAACCGACCTCATCCAACTACAGGTGGTTTACAGATCATCCAGGTTTAAACATCCTGGGTGTAGGGGTTTCTCTTTACCATCTGACTTCCTTGGCATTAAAGACCTTTTCTACATTGCCCTGTAGATTTCTGGCAGAGCAGCTGTTTTTAACTTCCTAGTACTCATCTGACTTCCAATTTGGGTCCATTAGTTTACCTGTTTTGGTTTCACTTCTAGATTGTAACTGTTAATTTGCCGGTTAGTCCTTTGTGGGAGGGGGTGGAAGAAGGAATTTTTGTGGCTCTAAAACCTTTTCATAAACAACTGGAGTGGATAGTAATAGATTAAGCAAGAATTACCATCTTCAGATATGCTCGTGTTTTATGGGTGAAAATCAAGGCTTTACAGGATCAGGCCAAACATGGCATACATTCAAAACCAGCCTACCTTTGTCTTCCACTGTGATGAACACTTCTGATGTAGTGTTTCCAACTTTTGAGATGAATGAACATTGATATTCTGTATTTTCTGATACTGAATCTTTCACCCAACTCAGAACATGCACTCTGCCATCAAACAGCATATGAGATTGCTCAGTGACGCATGCGTTCATCTTTTGTCCATTCTTCTTCCAGACAAAATAGGAGTCATCCGGACCTGTAAAAATGTCAGTCAGCTTATTTTGTAAGAAAATACAAGATGTATCTTTGGAAAGAAAACAAAAGCCTAAGACCTCCAGATTAGGCTCAAAAGCATAAATGGTTGATTGTAATGTTTCTTAATTTTCTTCAGCTGAAATTCTAGGTACCCAAAACCTGGGATGAAAAGGAATTAGCACTGGTAATATAGGTTCAAGCCAATGTCATAAATGAGTTCATATCTATAAAGAAGCTCTTCCTGGATTCTACAAGGAACTTGCCCATCAGACATGATAGAGCAGTTGATGAACATCAGCACTATCAGCCCATACGATTTCTGGTAGAGCTAGGCCATGTTACCTACTGCTGATCAAGTTAGCTTCTGGGACAAAGCTGAAACCATCTGAGACATGCCTTGCAAAACCTGAAATAAAGGCCAGGAGGAGAAAAAGTTCAAGAACTCAGTGTGTGAAAGATGCTGGAACTAATAATGAAAGAATCAGAATTGGAAAAAAAGCACAGAACCATTAGTCATAGCAGGCAATTAGGCAAGACAGAACTTGGAAGAAGCTTGGATCAACAACAAAGAGCAATCTAATCTTTTGGCCTTGTTGTGATTATTCGTCTTAACCTGCAAGGACAGAATTTGAATAAATTGGAGATTGACAGTAGCCCAGAGGACAGAACAGCTGTTCCCAGAAAATTAGCAAGGCTGGCTGAAGTGTACTTGGCCATAGCAGAGCATTTTCATTTAAAAGAGACACATGTGGGCCAAACTAAGAACTTTACAGTAATTCAGATGTTTAAAACATGTCTCTTTTTCCCTTGGGGCCCAGGATCCACACTAGCTTTAGCAAGAGAAGACATGAAGAGAAATTTGGGGTAAAAAGAAAATTAACTATTTTTGCAAGTATGTCTTAAGAGAACAGGTAGCCTACTACGGAAGTCAGCTTTGAGCATGAGCTTTTCCAGTTGCAAATCAATACGGCATTTCTCTCTAGAATAAGATTTGATTCTAGGTTAGTGTCCTGAAAGCTAATTAAATTTTAGGTAAGTGTGCAGGCAGACAAAAAAGAAAAAAGAAGGTAGTCTTTACATCTGTGCACTTACTCAGCATATTGTTACATTTTTAACTTGTTTGGAAATAAAACTAATATACTACAAATGTGTGGACAGCAATTAGTAGTAGGAGTAAGGGTGAATGATAGAGCGCATGATCTGGTTAAGGCCTGGTAGAGTTTATCTCGGAAGGAAGGATGCAGCACAACCTGTCAAGGACTGATGGCAGCTCTGACAAAGGGGAGAGCATACGCTGAATTGAAAAAAGCTAGCCTAGCACGCACTTTTTTAAAAAAAGCGGCTTATGAATGATTGTACTCATTCTGCAATTAACAGCAGATAGGTGACATGTCACTAAGATCCTGAGAAGTCTGGAACCAGGGACAAATTATTTCAGTAAACTAATGCTGAAGTTGGAATTCAGACAAATGGGAGGAATAGTAAGTAAATACAAGCACAGCAGAAAGACACAAATCATGAAGTACAAAAAAATAAAAGGCTTTGAAGAGTAGACACCTACCTTCAAAAACACTCTGAATTATAATTTCTAACAGATGCCACAATAAATCTGACATGGCATTAGTACAGAAATTAAACGATAGTGTTCACAAGGCCAAGCTGACTTGGAAAAGTTAAGATCAGCTTGACCACAGCGAAGATCAGTAAGATGGAATGCCGTGGCACAAACCTCAGGATGAACTTTTCCAAGCCTAGAAGAGTTATTACTCTAGCATTGTAGAGCTCAAAGGCAAGTGCTTGAGTAAAGCCCCAAGCTCACAAGTTTTATTTGCGGTAGTTCACGCCCCAACACATTGGCATCGGGCCGTTACCTAAAACCATGAGCTTGAAAAATGCCATTCTAGGGCCACGTGAGGAAGTGGCACGTTCAGTGCAGGCCACTTCCCTAAGCGTACTTCACACCAGAGAATCTGCTCTATTTCCTGGTGCTAGTGATCACAGTTCCAGAAATCTGACAGAAGCTCAGTATAAACACACGTTTCTAATGACTAAAATCCAACCGTTTCCTTAGATGGGAAATTCTGTAAGCTGTGTTGATTCAAGTCAGCCTCTTAAGAAGTTTTAACAGCAATTTTACCCTACCTTTGTTTTCTGCACAGTCAGGAGCACTGGAAATCCCCCCCAGAGATACATTAATCCCCACTCATACAAGTTAGTTGACAGTAAAATCTAGGTTTAGACACTAGAGTCAAGGGGGTTTACTGATCTCTCTGTGTTTCACTGCAGTTTTGTCCCAATTTTCAGGCACTGCTACTTTTCTCTACCTTGATTTCCTTAACACTGAGCAATAGAAAAAGTACACTCTGAAATGGTGCATCTGCAAAAACTTTGAATCACATTTGTTAAATGCAAATTATCTACAACTCTAGAGTGAGACTCAGGTGTAATGGTTAGAGGAGTATTTTCTGAAGATAAAGGAAATTAATATGAACATATACTCTGCATTTGCTACTGTTACTATAATACAAATTAGTCACGTCTGGTTCAAACTTTAAAATACGAATTTCTAACATTTGAGATACTTACCTTGCAATCCATTTTAAGAATGCTTGAAAGATTTAAAAAAGTCATCGTATTAAAACATAATAGTCAAGCAGAGAATTAAAGACCACATCAATCTAGATATTTATGTTTAAGCAATAATGAAAGACATTTCAAACAGCTAACTTTGAAAACATTGCTTCAACCTCAGTAAATATATTATTAGTAATCAGCTTCACCACCTTAACAATTTTAGAAGGGGAAAGGTTAACAATTGACAAAAATAAAAAAGCCTTGCTGCACTGACTGAACTACCCCTTTTCTCTGCATAAGCATTCATTATTTCTAGTGTCTGTGGAAGTTTGTAAAGTTTGCTACTTTTCCATATAGATTTCATTTTTTATACCTCTGTCTTCAGCACTTGGAGTGAAATGGTACTGCCCAGCTACTGTCCAGGTAGTTTCTGCTGGCAAAAGCAGTTCTCTGACCTACGTCAAAGTCAGGCAAGTTTGCACAAACCATGTATTTAAGAGCCCTTTTTTTCTTTTTTTTTTTTTTTTTTGCCTTGAGGTATTTCACAAGGAAAAATTTCAGCCACAGATAGCATTAAAAATTTAAACCACTGCAGCTGCTTGTAAACTTCTACTCACAGTTGTAACTGTCCTCACTGAATTATTGGTGTAAATTCAATCTTGGGTTAAAAATAAATCAATAAATAAATCCAGATTTAAAGAACTGAAGTATACAGCTACAGATTCAGAGCAGCATGCTGATGTGCCCTGCTAAACTGTATCAGATCAAGCATTTGCCATCCACACATCAAATCCCAATAGGCATATGGCTTTCAAGAAAGCTTGGAGGTACTAATTTAAAAGCAGCAGATTATGGATTAAGTCGTGTTCACTGGCAGAAGGATGGGGTGGGGGAGCAATCACTAGCCAAGCCAGCTGCTTTTGCCAAATGCTGCAACTTGCAGAGCTGCACAGACATTTCAAAAGCTACCCAGTGAAGTGAAACACTTAGAAGTGCTACCCCATTGCTGTTGGTTTAGCACACTAGTCCTCCTCATTTTTAACACAGTTCTTAAAAACATTAAAACAAGGCCTCCCTATAAATTATTCAGAGAAACACTTCAAATTAGAGGGAGGTGAGTTGTGTAACACAAAACAAGAGCCATCAGCAAGCCCAAACCTCTTACAGCTTTCCTCAGCTAAACTAATCTCTGAAAGTTGACAGCAAATTGAAATCCAAGAAGATAACTGACAGGTATCCCACAGAGAAATTGTAGCGGAGTAACAAAAAGTCTTTTTTACAAGTTCCTGTAATCTAGACACAGAACTGCTACCAGAGGCTATCGGCAGTGACAGGAAGTTTAGGTTTGGGAAAAAACTCCCCTGTATTCCCCAATACACAGCAAAACATCTTCCAAAGCTTGTAACATACAGCAAATTAAAAATAAAAACAAACAAACAAAACAAACAAACAACAACAACAAAAACACCAAAAAACCACACACAATAAAAACCCACCAAAGTGGCATCTGGCTTTAATGGTTGCTATCTAATTTGCAGCTTTGGCTTGTACTGAATGGTACTGAACTAAGCATCCCAGATTCAGAAAACCAAGGCCATATAAGAAGCTTTCTTGCAGAGCAGGGATTAAGTTTTAAAAAGACACTATAATCTGGGTGCGGAAAGATGATTATAAATCAGAGATCAAAGTTAGCACAGGAAAAGTTTAGTCAATCATTAAGAAAGAAAACAACCACCAGCACTACCCAATACATGAATGAGTTAGATTTAAGGCTGGTCACAGTTTCTTGAGTTGGAGGAGTGAGTCACTGTTGATGACATGACAGCAAAATAATAAATAAATAGTAAGTGAAGAAATCGTGAGGGTAACATTGGAAGAGTGGGGAAAGAAAGACTCTTTAAATTGAGACAAGCATCTCTGCAGTTTTCTAAAAATAATACAGAAGGTAGATAGCCTACATCTCAGATAACTTTTGGTGTTGTTTATTTGGTGGTTTGGTTTTTTTTTGTTGTTTTTTTTTATTGTGGTTTTTTTTTAAGTAGGGGCAATACATTCTACAAAACAAACTAGAAATAGCTTGGCAGCTTTAGAAAAAGAAATCACTTAAGAAGCCAGGGAAAAATAGATCTCTCTGAAATGCCAAAGAATATTACTTCAAACACCAAATAATTCATACTGAAGAATGCATGACATACTCCTTCAAAAACCCAGTGCCTTTGTTAAATTACTAGTCCACTTGTGTAACATCAACACCACAAGCTGATGCAGCCTTATCACGGCACACTAAAAGCAGGAAGTGCTTCCTGTGACATGCCAGCCACATAAATCTGGAAGAAGTAGGCAGTCACCAGAGGAAGCGATGCACATCGCCTGCAGATGAAAGTAGGGCACGGCCTCTGCCTTCTCAGAATGGAATTTAAAAGCAGATTGGGAAAATGGCTGACTTGCTTATGAGATGAAAATGCAATTCATAACTGTCCATGCTTCCCAGCATGAACAACATTTATTTAGATATTCTCTGACTGGGTCCAGAAAAAGGTTTTGCAATTGGAACCCAGATGCCTGTGAAGAATAATTAAATGAAGCACTAGCAAGCCAGAACTACGGACTGATTGAAAAAAATTAGTTTCCAGTTTGAGTTCGCGTTCTTATTTTTGGCCCTCTTACCAGCTAACAAGGCTACTTACTATGTTAAGTTTTAAAATAAAGTGAAGAAAATTGGAGAACATGCTTGAGGGAGTAACATGCTCTCCAGAGAGCACGAGTTACGGCTTTTACTCCCTTGTTTGCCAGACAGAGCTTGAAGGAAGATGACTGGAAGAGACGGAAATGAGATTTTTCATCTCCACTGAGAGGACAATGCACATGGCACGTTGAAGCAGCTCTGGTAAGCAATTTTTGCTGAAATAGTTAAGGTGACAGCTGTGTTCCAGATCAGTACCCAGTTAACCAGCTATCACACTGAGCCATCAACTATTGTAAGTCTACAGGTTGTAGTTCTCACTGGCGAAGACAAGAAAAATAAGCGTACAGGTAGTCAGTTTGCAAACCAGGCTGGTGGGAGTAATGAGAAGTTCTGAGGAAAAGACGTTTTTTATGCTCCAGAGACTCTGACACCAGTCCAAACCCACCAGATCTCACTAAGCAGGACTAGGAAATCCAGTTTCTCAATCGCAGCCAGGGTTTAGAGTTTAGTACCACTGTATCACTCCAAGCTGAGCCAGTACTGAATGAGAGTTGCACACTAGCAAGCAAAAAAGCAGTTTAAATATATATGCTGAATTGCAAAAGAAGAAAGGCTAAAACTGGGAGGTCAAGTAAAAACTTGTAAGCAAATTGTACATAGAAGCAAATATATACCGCAGTGAATCTCTCCTGAGAGAAGACACAGGCTGAAAGTCATTTAGGAATCACATTTGGTTCTCAAAGACCCGCAAACTTCTCTTTTTATACATAACTAGACATACTATAAAAGCTGCCATGGATTCTGCAATACCTCTTTTTCTTGCACCCTTGTAGCTCCGCCATAATCACGTGCATATGACATTCAGTTAGCAAATACTGCCTGTTTTGTGACCAAATCAGTTCACCTCTGCGCATGGCCCGTGCAGCACCCAATTCCAGCAGCTGAGAAGCTGGACTAAACAGCCAAGCAGCAAAGCTGCTGCTTCACAGAGGTACCAGCTGTTTTCCTTAGTCTCAAGAGATTTTTTCACAAATTATTTTCTCAAAAGGATGGCTTATTCAGACTGTTCAGATACCAAACAAAAGCTTTTAAAACATGCAATGGGATTAATTTACTTAAGCCCTCTGCTGACATACAGTGCAGCTGATAAATTTACCAATTACTGTACAAGAACACTTACTGGTATACATGGGATACACTACAATGTGCATGCAGCTTGAAATATTTTAAGCACATTACAACAGTAATAATTATTTGCAGGCTACAACTACTATTCCTAACTGGACTGCTTTCCTCAGGAGGAAATAGTTCTCAGGAGAGAAAGGTATTTTAGTGTCTCTTCTTAGGTTTTAAGTGTTTATAAATTCCCAAACTTCAGACAAGAAGAGGGGTCCCGACTGCACCTTATTATTCACTGCACAGGAAAAACCTGTATGAATGCAGTCAGCTGAACACTCTGCAAGGGAAGATTCTATTCAGAAGAAAAACAATGAAGTCTTTTGAGGAAGAAGTAATAAAGATGCTCTTGGTTCTACTTCTCCTCCTTGCTCTCCTCTCTTTTTACTTGATGTGCCTTATGCTTAAATTATGTTTACACTGAGTTTATTCTTGACCTTACAAGAAAATAGTATTTTTAAAAAAAAAAAAAAAGGAAATAGGTGTTCTTCCTGCATGCCTTTCCACAGATGTCTTAGTTTGACCATAGCCTCTACATATAAAAGGGCACAGCAAAAGAGATTTCTACATAAATATTTTTAAATCTGCTGTTGATGCCAGAATTTAAGAATGCATCATCCATGTCACGGCCCTTACAGAAACTAATTTACAATTGTCTTACAGAAGTCATTACAAAGGAAGCCATCAGAGCCAGGATAACACCAGCACTTAAAGATACTTAATGCTGCTGGGTTTGCCTGCAGAGTTAGATGTAAGAGGGCCACAGCAGGCCCCGATGTCTGAAAAAAAGAAGTGCCAACACTGTAAATAACTGCAGCCCTCAGATACTGCAATCTAAAGTAACAAGGATAATTTTTATGTCTGTGATTTTTATGCAAAATGGCTCTGCAATATTTACTTGATTTTATAACCTTAAATCACATCTTCTAAGTATTTTTCTGTTAATATATCAAAGGAACGATCTTATTTTTTCAACACATCTTCTACATGCATCTTAAATAAAGAAAACAGGTGGCATGTCAGAGATCCTCATGAAGTAACAGTTTTATTGTACCGATATGCCTTTAGGTGATGAGTGTTCAGTCAGTGCAGAAATCACTGACAGAAGTGGTACAAAACTGCAAAATTACAAATTAACACCTACTATCAGATTACTGTAGCCAAAGATGCCGAAACTGAGTCACAGGCAGATAGCATAAGATAAACCACCAAAGGTCTGTGGAGAAAGTTAATTCATAAAACAGGATATGGAACTGTTTAACAAGGTACAAACTTAGCATTTCCATATGAGGACAAAGATAAACCAACCACGGATTACAAAGCAAACATACAAACTAAAGTCAAGGGTACTGCTTCAACAAAACATCACCATGTAAATCTCAAAATATACTGCATAAAAATAATTTTAAAATAATCTAGAGTGTTTTAAAGTTTTTATGCAGTGAATTAAATTGTCCTGGGAGATGCAGAGGCTTTTCCTTTCTAGGCTACCAGTTAAACCAATTTCAGGTTTCAAAACCTAAATGATATATCTGTCCAGAGGCATAATTATTAAGGCAGGAAGATGAGATGTTATGGGGGTTATTTTACACAACAGTTCACCAAAAGAAAAAAAAAAAAAAAAAAAAAAAAAAGCTGGAAAACTGCAACTGGTTATAAAACACAAGTATATGCCCATGGAAAACTGCTATTTGGTATCTGCGTTCTTGTAATAGAACAAAGTCACAACTGAAGTAAACTCCATTTTAAGATACTGACATGCTGTAATTTAAATGCTGTAATTTGTTGTCCTGGGCAAACATTTTGTTGTCTAGCAAAAAAGCACTTTCCTAGGCAGGCTCATTCTGCTTTGGGTGCTGCACACCTCCATCCCTCTCCTGTCTGAGTTCTTAACACATCTCATTGGGTCAACCACACGGACCACCCCAGGGCATCACAGGTGGTGCAATTAATGTAGAAAAAAAAAAAAAAAAACCACACCCAAACATCTCACTCGAGAATGACTTATGAAGCCACTTCCAGAGAGGAAGCTTACTCATTTCTGTGGGTAAGTCAAGCTCTGACAGATGAGCTCCTCCTGCCGAGGCGGCAAACTGGGCACACCTGGGGGTGTAGGGACTTTGGAGCCCTACCGCTGAGACCGGTGGTGCACCAGCGCTTGGTGACACCGGTACCACCAACCCTGGGACATCTGGACACAGCCTTGGGCAGCAACCGCTTCGGACTCGCTCCGCAGGCACTTTTGTCTAGAGTTTTCCTCAGCCTGCAGAAGCCCTTGGTGAAGCGCAGTGCTTCATTATTTTCCCCACCCTTGTACATGCCTTCCAGTACAACTTCGAGCTTCACCAAAGAGAAAAACTGTAGTGAATCACTTGTGATTGTGATTCTTGCAAGTTATGGATCTTTTCCCACATGGATGTTGGAGGCTTTCTTGCACTCCCTTTAAAATAGCATAACCACAGGGAACAGGCACTGTATGGGGGTGTTATCTGATACCCATCTCATTATCTCCACAAAATAACAACTCCTCTAAAGTATATTGCTGAGTTTGAAGAACTTTTATGTTCACACTCCCGGGGTTATTTTAATGAGACTGAAAAGTTAAGAACCTTTACGGGAAAACTCCAGCTTCAGATGAACTAAGGGAGGAGGCAAGACTTCTTGACAGCATGGACACAGAGAGTCTGAATCTGAAGGCCAGAAATACAAATAAATCATAATCGTTTGCTCCATTTCTGATTATAAATACATTTAAATTGTGGCTCAGCATACTCAGGATACTCTATGTCATTTGTCTGTGAAGTTAAGGTCAAGGATATACTACTCTACATTTGGGGGGAAGAGGCGTCAGTAAAACATCTTTAAGCAGAACCAAAGCTGGTAGAAACAGGCTTTCTCTAGAATACCTCAATTCAACAGAGCACACACAAAAAATTTTGAAGTTGTTGCATACATCATCAACTCACTGCCTCTCCCCTGGACCAGATGGTGTAGTATTCTGTTCAATGTATTTGAACCCTGCCTCAAATGTCTTTAAAGGATTTTAAAATTCTGTAATGGGAGAGAGAAGTTCTATTAGAGAAAGTATATAGGGAAGCCAACGTTTGCCAGTGCTTGTCTAGCAAACAGCTGTTTGGAGAAATGTGAAGATGTGAGACTCTTCAGGGGAGTAAAGTGAGAAACTGGGAGGCAATTTGTGAAAGGAGATGCGTTCTCCTCTTTTCAGGAAGGGCAGGAGCACTCCATTGTTGAAAATCTAATTTTCCAGAAAAAAATAACCATATGTCACAAGTGGCCATTTGTGCTGTATCCACTTGTAACTTAACATCCTTGAAATGAGCCAGTCACAAAGTTGTAAAGTATTATCCTTAGGTGAGCTTTCAGGTTAAAACATGTGGGATGAGTAAGAGAACTCACCAACTCCTGCTGAGTTTCCAGACAGCTTGAAACAGAGAGATTCAGTAATTCTCATAAAAGTAACTAATAACTTTAGAAACTTAATTAAAAATAAGCTTCAGGTTTTTGACCAGATGATGCGGCTATCTATGTATTTGCATCATACATCTGCTGATACAATATCCTTTATGCAGAAGACCAGGTACCACATTTAACTCTCTGCCAGTCTCGTTTAACCCGTCTGCTCCTTGTGAACACATATTACCTTATATTCATAGCTGAGGGAAAGAAAGTTCCATTATATAAAGAAGTATCACCAGGCACTGAAGGAATGTGAATACATTGAAGTAGAGAGCTTCCTAGTAAAAGCTTTTGCTTGGCGAGTCCCCCCACCCAGGATAAATTTATACATCCTTGCATGCAGGTGCCAGAAAGATGAAAAAAAATCCCCATCGGTCTGGTATGCTGGTTTGCATTTGGGTTTCCTCTACCTTTTTTTTTTTTTTAATCAACAGAATAAAGTTGCAATTCTGGGTGAGAGAAGGGTGCCATGTATCAGCCAAAGGTCTTGTTTCCCAAAAGGAGTAACACCCCCACCCCTAACACAAACTCTAGTCCTTCGCTGGTTTCTGACAGGAGCTGGGAACGCGTCCCTGCCCCTGCCTCTCATTCTTGCTGCAGTTTCTGCCACTACTCCTCCCTACCTCCTCAGGACTGAATTCCACAGGCTGACTTCAGGACACTGCTCCTCCTTTCTTATGTTCGCTGACAAGGCAATCGCTACTACTTGCAATTTTTAAAAAGCAGCCTGAGTATCGCTGCTCCCCGTGCAACAACCAGCACAACTAAGAAAAGGCGATGGGTGGCACTAGTGGGCGACTCCCTTCTGAGCTTTCTGGAGGCACCCACCTGCCGCACTGGCACGCTCCCTGAGAAGCGTCCTGCTTACCCAGGGCTCGTGTCAGAGATGTCACCAAGAGACTACCAAGACTTGTACAGTCCACTGACTGTTACCCACGGTCGTTGTTTCATGTGGGCACCAGTGATACAGCCAGGAGCAGTCTGAGGAGTATCAAGGAGGATTAGAGAGCCCCGAGAGTGGTGGCAAGGGACTCTGGAGCACAGGTACTTTTCTTCATCAATCCTCCCGAAAGGAAGGGACCTGAAAGGGCCAGTCGCATCTAGTGAATCCACAAATGGTCACAGGACTGGTGCCACAGCCACGGGTTCGCTACTTGGACATGGGACTTGCTTTGAGAAACGTGGTCAGCTGGGAGCCGATGGGTCCATCCGTCACAGGGGGAAGAGCATCTTCCCCCATAGGCTTGCCAAGCTGGTGTAGAGGGCTTTAAAGTAAAGCCAGGGGAGGGTAACTTCAATCCACCCCAATCCTACCAGCTTGATGCTGGTGCCAAAAACAGATGCCCAGAGTCTGGAGAGGAATCACAAGTCAGCAGGAGCGCACCAGAAGAGCAGCACAAAAATTCCTCCAGCCAGTAAGTCAGCTTCATTGGGGGCCCAACTTAAATGCCTCTGTGGAAATGCACGTAGCATGAGGAATAAACAAGGAGTTAGAGATGTGCACATCTGCAGGACTACAATTTTACTGGGATCATGGAGATGTGGTGGGATGACTCCTATGGCTGGAGTTTTGGAATGGAAGGATACAGGCTCTTTGGGAGGGACAGGCAGGGGAGAGGAGGAGAGGGTGTTGCCTTCTGTGTTGATGACCAGCTGGAGTGCAGGGAGCTCTGCCCTGGGATGGATGAGGAGCTGACTGAGAGCTTATGGGTCGGGATTAAAGGGAGGGCAGGGACAGGAGACGTTATAGTGGGGGTTTGCTACAGGCCATCCAACCAGAAAGATGAAATGGATGAGGCCCTCTATAGACAGACGGGAGCAGCCTCACGTTCACAAGCCCTGGTCCTCATGGTCCTTCAACTACCCTGTGATATCTGCAGGACGGACAACACAGCAGGGCATAAGCTAACCAGGAGGTTCCTGGAATGCATTGATGGTAACTTCTTTCACCAAGTGATAGAGGAGCCAAGGAGGAGAGGTGCTGTGCTGGACCTTGTTCTCACCAAGGTGGGGCTGGTGGGGAGTGTGAGGCCCAAGGGCAGCCTTGGCTGCAGTAACCATGAACTGGTGGAGTTCAATATCCTTAGGGCAGAGAGGAGGGCGCACAAAAATCTCACTGCCCTTGACTTCAGGAAAGCACACTCTGCCCTTTTTAAGGATCTGCTTGGCAAAGTATCATGGGATAAAGCCCTGGCAGGAAGAGGGGGCCAAGGAAGCTGGCTAATACTCAAGAATCACCTTCTCCTAGCTCAGAAGTGATGCATCCAACAAAGAGGCAATCAGGTAAGAACACCAGGAAGCCTGCATGGATGAACAAGATCTCCTGGACAAGCTCAATCACAAAAAGGAAGCTGACAGAGGGTGGGAGTAAGGACAGATAGCCTGGGAGGAATACAGAGAAACTGTATGAGCAGCCAAGGATCAGGTTAGGAATGCCAAACTCCTGACAGAATGAAATCTGGCCAGGAACCTCAAGGGCAACAAGAAAATCTTCTACATGATAAAAGGAAGAGTAGGGAAAATACAGGCCCTTTCTGGAAGTAGACGGGACATCTGGTTACGTGGGATATGGAGAAGGCTGAGGTACTCAACTTTTTTGTCTCAGTCTTCACCAGTAACAGTTCCAGCCACACTGCCCAAGTTGCAGAAGACAAAGGTGGGGACTGTAGGAGATCAAGTTCAACACCATCTAAGGAACCTGAAGGTGCACAAGTCCATGGGACCCGATGAGATGCATCTGTGGGTCCTGAAGAAACTGGGGGGATGAAACGTCTGAGCCATTATCCATCATATTTGAGAAGTTGTGGCCATCTGGGCAAGTTCCTGCTGACTGGAAAATGGGAAACATAACCCCCATTTTTTAAAAAGGGAAAAAAAAGAAGGCCTAGGGAACTACAGGCCAGTCATTCCCACCTCTGTGCCTGGTAAGATCATGGAGTGGATCCTCCTAGAAACTATGGTGGGGCACTTGGGAAAGTAAGGAGGTGCCTGCCAAATTTGCTAGCCCTCTACAATGGGGGTTATATTGGTGAACGAAGAAGAGCAACATACGTCATCCACCTGGATTTGTGCGAAGCCTATGACACTGTTCTACACTACATCCCTGGCTCTAAATTGGAGTCTTATGGATTTGATGGATGGACCACTCACTGGATAAGGAATTGGCTGCATGGTCACACTCAAAGAGTTGTGATCAGTGGCTCAATGTCCCAGTAGAGCATGGTCATGAGTGGTGTTCCTCAGGGGTCGATACTGGAACTGACACCATTTAACAACTTTGTTGGTGACACAAGCTGTGGGACTGAGTGCACCCTCAGCAAGTTTGCTGACGACACCCAGCTGTGTGGTGCAGATGACACCCTGGAGGGAAGGGATGCCATCCAGGGGGACCTGGACAGGCTTGAGAGGTGGGACCACGCAAACCTCATGAATTTCAACAAGGCCAAGAGCAAGGTCCTGCACAGGGGTCGGGGCAATCCCAAGCACAAATACAGGCCGGGCGAGGAGTGGGTTGAGAACAGCCCTGCGGAGAAGGACTTGGGGGTGTTAGTGGGTGGAAAACTGACCCTGAGCCAGCAATGTGCGCTCACAGCCCAGAAAGCCAACAGTGTCCTGGGCTGCATCAAGAGAAGTGTGGCCAGCGGGTCGAGGGAGGGGATTCCACCCCTCTGCTCTGGTGAGACCCCCCCTGCAGTGCTGTGTCCAGCTCTGGGGCCCCCAACATAAGGACATGGACCTGACCAAGCTGGTCCAGAGGAGGCCACAAAGATGATGAGGGGGCTGGAGCACCTCCCCTATGAGGACAGGCTGAGAGAGTTGGGGTTGTTCAGCCTGGAGGAGAGAAGGCTCTGGGGCAGATGTTATAGAGCAGCCTTCTAGTACTTAGAGGGGGCCTATAGGAAAGAGGGGGAGGGACTCTGCATCAGGGAGTGTAGTGATAGGATGAGAGGTAATGGTTTTAAACTGAAAGAGGGTAGATGTAGATGAGAGAAGAAATTCTTCCCTGCAAGGGTGGTGAGACACTGGAATGGGTTGCCCAGAGCAGCTGTGGCTGCCCCCTCCCTGGAAGGGTTCAAGGCCAGGCTGGACAGGGCTGGGAGCACCCTGGGCTGGGGGAAGGTGTCCCTGCCTGTGGCAGGGGGTTGGAATGAGGTGATATTTAAGATTTAAGGTCCCTTCCAACCCAAACCATTCTATGACACCGGATGAAACAAGTAATTTGTTTTAAAATTCCAGAGCTGTATCCCAATCATCAAACTGTTCAAATCCTTTCTGCTATTTATGGTACTATTACCATTTTTTTCATGTGGACAACAAAAAGTTTCTGGTTTGTCTAAAGCAACAGTGAACAAGTTATTGCTGAAAGGTCTTTTAAAGCCTGTATGATTCTCTGACTCTATTTTATGAAAGAACCCTGATCCCACCATGGAAATACAAATCATGCCTTTGTCCAGACCGACTCTAATAAAGAGTCGTGCTTTTTGTTCCGATTCCATGCAACACTAACACATGCGAACAGACAGACCAGTATGAAACGATGCTACTTTTTAAAATGAATCTCTATCTGTAATTCCTTATTTTAAGGAATAAGATTACATTTTAACAGTTGTTTAAATCTATTAAATATTACTTACCTTAAACAGGCAACTACTATCCAAACAAAAGCTGAAAGACAAATGTTGAATTTCTGTAGAAAAAATAGCTTTGTCCTCCTCCTGTACACCTGAGATAATATATTCTTCATGATATGGAAGTTGTCATTTCTGTAAGTACTTTACCATTTTAAATAAGTTAAGACTAAGAATGAATAACTCACCCAGTCCCGAAAAAGACGCTAATTTCAAATCCAACAGAAGTGTATTTTTTAAACAGCATACATACTGAGAGTGAAAATATTTACCTGCTAAACTTCCATATGCAATCATGATTCAGTGAACTCCTTCAGCATGCAAATGAGCCTATTAAAATCAATTTACTATTAATATACCAAAGTAGACTGCTAAATCAGAGCCTGCATTTTATAGTACAGTATTCGCAGTGCCAGATTCTTGGTAACAGTATGTTGATAATATATCCTCAAATGGTCTTATTTTAAACATCAAAAAAGTATAACATGTACAGTACATGGTGACGTAGGTAAACCTTTAATGCAGAAAATGCTGTTTTATAGACAGGGGTCCTCCAACTTACCTGTGGCTTGACAGAAGAGGCGAAAGGGTCCCCGGACACTAACATGCTGTGCCTGGTCACTTAGGAAAGGTGGCAACAACATGACCTTTACAGGGTCTGTGCTAGACCAAACATCAGGCTGGGTACTGGTGAGTGAAGGAGGTGAATCACTTCCCACACAGGACAAAAAGGAGGTACCAGTAGGAGGGAAAGGTATAGGAGATGAGGCTGTGTGACAGAAGAGGACAGAAAAGAAAAAAAAAAAAAGAAGGTACTAAGGAAAAAAGTTGTAAGAAATACATCACACACTGAAGAAATAATGCAAAAAGACAAATGAATTTTAGAAGGGTAATAAGAGGAAGTGTCCCTGGGCCCCCACAGAAGAGTGCTTTCCTCCTTCACCCATGTTTCTTTTTCCATTCTTCCAATCCTCCCCCCTCCCCTATCCCACTCCCCCAGTTTATAACCCATCCAACTAAAGCTGGGAAGAGAATCCGCTTCAAATTAACTACTCAATTTTTCACTTCTCCCCCTTAAAGGAAACCACACAGAACAGTAGCGCTTGCAATATGGAAAGCAGTGTCATTGTGTCAAGTTACATAGAAGTCGAGATATAATACAATTTATTTTAATATTTATTCTGTTATATGTACATAATTAAAAATAGAAAAATAAAACCAAACTGAATCTTATAAAATATAAACTTTACACTAAGATGGTCTAAATTATGTTCGCATGAAAATTCAACATAGAAAAGCAGCCCAGGCATACTGCTATTTACTGTTTAAATGTATTCTACTTCTAGCAATATTTACAGAAAGATGCAGTGAGAGGAACAATTTCTTCAGGACTGTACCGCACAAATTGCTTTTACAGACAAACAGTGCTGCTGTGAACCAGGCTGAGAACAAATGCACACTTTCACGTTTGCAGGCATGATTCACATAAACAGTTCAAACGATTGATTGTTTAAGCAGCTCCAGTTTCAGTCTCCAGTTGCATAGGAGATTGGAAGGTATCAGCCAGAAAGGGTGACGCTGCAAAGATTTGTCACAAAAAGAAGCTAAGTTATTTATGAATTTGAAAATAAGGAAAAAAAAAAAAAATGGGCAATGTTTTCTCATCAGGCTGTATCCTAACAGTCCATTCCAGCGACACACTAGATGAATTATTGTAGTTAATTCTTCTCGATTCCTGTTTTTCTTCCACAGTGCAAAAAACCTCTGTGTCACTGCTAGCTGAGAGCTGCTTGCCTGTACTGTTTCATTAGAGGAAAAAAAAAAAAAGAAAGAAAAAAGGCAAGAAAACAAAACAAAAAAAATTCCAGTTTTGTATAGAAAATAGAATGTGACTATATCCAGCTTGCTGGTTAAGATGAGGGGGATGGGAAGAAAAAAAAAAAAAAAGGAAAAGCATTACTAAATCTATCTTTTCCTCCCTCCCCTAACCCCACTTACTCCATGTTTTGTACTGATACTGTTGTACCTAAATTTCTAGAAAGCAGCAAAGAAAAAAGCCTTTAAACAAGATTATCCCTGAGAGTCTTACACAAATCAAGCCAACGCTATCCCCATTATACCTTAAAAATCTAAGATACTTAACAAACAGTTAAAAAATTAACTTTAATCAACTAAAGAGACCTAGTGTGCCAAAACACAATGCATAAAACTGAAAATAATCACTAGAAGCAAAGAAAAAAAAATGTCCCAATCTGGACAAAAGTCTATAATTTACCAATCTGATAAACTAAACTTAATTTCCAATTTGGAATTAAAATGAAACTAGGTCTTTTTGTAATGGCAGCTAAAAATGTGTAGACTGAAGTAATTTTTAAAGCCAACTGAATTAGAAAGTTACTTTTATCCTATGGAAGAACAGGGCTGAAGAACAAGCAAGTAACTGTTCACTGAAGTGAAGCGCTCAGTGGGGGTAAAAACTGGGAACAAACAAGTGGTGATCTGAAACTGGCCATTATTAAAAAAAAACAAAAAAACAAAAAAAACAAACAAACAACAAAACCCCAAAAACAACAACGAAAAAACCCCAGACAATACAACACAAGAGCCTATGGTCTGCAGACAAGAACACCGCTTCTCTAATCTGGCAAGATCTGAACGCACATTGGCTCGCTGTACAGCTTAAGCATGTAAACCCCGCCGCGGCTCAGCTGCCACACCACCCGTGCTCTCCGTGCTCAAACAGCTACCCGCAGCACCACAGCTGGCTTCCACCACTGAAACGGACGACCGGCGCCTTCACTCCCCCTCCGCGTCCGAGTCGGCATACTTGAGCTCACACTTGACATCGAAGGGCTTGTCCCTGGCCTCTCGGGGTGCCTGCGGGTCCCCAAGCTGCAGCTGGCCATTCCCGCAGTCAGGCTCAGTCTCGTAGCCGGTGTCGTGCGCCGGCTTTGGCTGCTCCCCGCTCTGGTGGCTGACACTGCCCTGCTCCACCAGCGTCTCCTTCACGCTTTGCTCGCAATCAGAAAAATCGGACTTCGTTTTCTTCTTACCAAGCAGCAAGACAGAGCGGAATTTCAAGCACTGCCCTGGCAAGTACCCTTTGTAACAGTTGTAGGAGAGCAGGCACAAGAAGAGAATAAAAAAGAAGAGGAAGAGGAACATCAACAGGAAGTTATCGTTTGACTTGAGGAACATCGTCTTTTCTGGGACCGCATCAGGAATTGAATTGAAGAGGTCTGTGTTGGAGGCTGCACTTGTTAGGACAGGGCCAATGGGCTTTGTTATTATCCTGGCTGTCGTTACCGGTACCGTGTGAGTGGCCGAGATGTGAGCAGTAGACCCCTCGGTTGATACAGCTGACACTTTCGGCACATCACTATTACCTTCTGTTGGTGCAGCTGCTGCAGTGGGGCCCACCGTGGTGTGCTGCATCTTTTTCAGTTCCAAAATATGCTTAGCCAGCACCTGAGAAAATTTCTTATTCTTCACTTTTTCTTCTGACAAACACTGGTAAACACCGCTGTCTCCTTCTGATAAATTGAAGATGAGCAGTGCCTTTTCCAGCAGACGGTACTTGGGACTCTCCACTCTCAGCACGTCGTCTTTGAACTTCCAAACTATCTGTGCCAGATTGGACTTTTGAGAACACTTGAGTTCTGCTGTGCTCCCATGCTTGAATGTATGCTGTAGGGAATTCTCTCTTACTTTATCTGGAACATCAAAATAAACGTGCAGAGTATCAGCAATGATTCCCGTTTGCTCTAATCGTACAGTTTCACAAGACTGTGCTACAGTCTTTCATGGAAACATAAAGATTACAGCATTCAGATTACCTCACAAGACCAAGATGACAGCATGCAAGAATCTCAGTGAAATACCAAGCTACAGCTGTGTGTGAGACATCAAGACCGACTAAGAGATAGGACACCTCAAACTCTTAAGACAGCCTCCACTTCTAGGGAGAGATGAGACCTTGTTGATCCACAACTGAGCGTGCATTTGAGACGAGTCATTGTTTGAGACAAGATGCTGAACTTGGTATCACTTTATATGCCATTAGTGCATTTTAATTAAATCAGCAACTACAAAATATCCGAGAAGAAAGTGAACAAAGTGCTGTTACTGAACTTAAACTCTATTCTAAAAAAAATAAAAAATTAAAAAAGCAAGCGCTTATGGCAAACCCACAATGCAACACCATAAATTAACAAAAAAAAACTAACAAGCAAAATTCTCATGGCGGTCCACGCTTTACTTGGATTAGAAATAAAAACAGAGTAAATCAAACTCTGAAGAGCTTTGTTTACTGCACTACAACTCTCCTGTAACACTTCTTTAAGAACTCCTTGATCTGGTGTCAACAGCACACACTATAAAGGACAGACCTGTCATTACTTGCCTTAAAGCACTATGGAGGGTACTTCAGCTGCTCTGTATCATGTTCTGAGTCCCTCCTCCCCTCTCACCATAAAATCAGCTTTTTTCAGGATCATTTCAACTGATCCAGCAGCAATTATCAAGCACTTATCAAGGCTCACAGCAGAATGTCAAATGCTGTATCACAGAGACAGAGGCCTCTGCACTAGAAGTACTTATGGTAAATACTGCTTTCATTCACAAGCCGCTGTTGAGGTGGCCCCATTCATTTCAGGGGCTTGTGCACTGCACACTGAAATGTATACAAACACAGACATTTTAAGACAACATGCAGGCTGTACAGATGCTCAAACATTCAAAAGCAGAATCTCATACCTATTAAAATATCAATGAATATCCAGATAACCGCAAACACTAAGCTGAACTAAACAAAATTCTCTCACTACTCCACCTAGACAAGGGAAAGAGCTCTTCAAGGACTAACTCACCAGAACAAGATGATGCATCTCCACCTATGTTCTGAATCCAGTTCCTGTAAAAGCAAGTCCAAGTATTACAACTTCAAATCTTGCTTCCTACAGTCTGCCCATCCTCTCCTACTACGATTCATCTTATCTAAATAGCACAAGCAGACATAAATAGATAGTAAAAGTTTGTATTTGAAAACATTCAGTTAAAAAAATGCCAGTTATTGGTAAGAGGCAAGACTGATGCAATATTGATTAAAACTGTACGGCAATCAAAGAATACCATTACCTTTCAATTTTACTTTCTTTAAAAATATCAATGCAGGAAGCTTCAAGGGGTCTCCAAGCACAGTAAGGATCCCTTGCTAAAACACAGTCAACACAAGTGGTGTACTTGTCACAGAATGCCACCGGAGACTGAACCACACCAGAATTTGAACCAGCATAGAGGTATCTTCTGCCCTAAAAAAAAAAAAAAAAAAACCACACCAAAAAAAAACCAAAGAAAGCACAAAAAAAAAAAAAAAAAACCAAAAACAGAAACACACCCAATCACTTTCTCAAACAATCCAAATCATGAAAATTTTAAAATTAGAGTTGCATACATACAGCCCATGTTTGTAAAAACTGAAGTGTAAGTGGAATAAGCACTTTGATTAGCTTTTATTCCTAGAAATGAAGGGAAACTTATCTTGAAAATATTCAGAGCTGCTGAAATTTTAAAAATACTAAAGAGCAAAATCCTGAAATAGATACAGTTTATGAGAATGGAAAGTAATCATGTCTAATGATGGCTTTACCACCCAGCTTATACACAAAGCCAGATGCACCAACAATCTTCCTACGAGGCAGGGCCAGCCAGTGCTGATGACAAGGCTGCAGCAGTCACACACAAGTCTGAACAGGCCAGACTTGCTGTACGTAGGGCCCGGCCCTGCTCCTGTTAACCCAAAGCAAGCAGCCCTACTGCCTTCAGCTCTGCTACCAGTCAGGTCTCTGCAGCCACATCAGCAGCCACCTTACAAGAGCCAAATGTGGCTGCCTACTTGCTAGTCAGGGAGGAACACCGGGTAGTATTCAAAGGAAACAGCACTGGCATGACAGCTAGGAAAAGGGGGAGATCAACAGAATGGCTGTTTGACCCAGTTGGTGGGGATCCCAAACAAGTCTCACTCTGAGCATGGCAGGAAAGGACCACATTCATCCCAAACATCCTTTTCCTAAGAGGCTGGCAGCTGCCTTATTTCACCCATCTGTTTCAAAGCTCAGGGAACCCGATGGCTAAAAGGTACATTGTGAATTTACATACTATTATGCAAAGCCTCAAGAAAAGAGCCTGCACTGTAACCCAAAACCACTAGTGACCGACCTTTTGAGAGGCTGTGCATACAAAGCCAAACAGCACACCCCACCCTTGGCAGTGGGCTGGCTCCGTCCTGATCAGAACACCGAGCACATTTATCAGCAGCCTACCACAGTTGTCATGGCAAATGAGCCGGACTCAAGCACGGAGTGGCTTTTCCTGTACTGCAGTCATACACGTCTCAGCGCGTAGAAAGGTACTCAGGGGTTGTGTCTGCAGGCAGACTGCTTGACTCAGTCAGGATGAATAGGGTCACAAAATGATGGGCAGACATCCAAGAAAGTTTTCTAGTAGAGAAACATTCCTCAAAAAAATCTCATGTTCGTCGTGCAGGCTTTTGGTCTTGACATCAGAAATAGCCTGGAGAAAACAACTAACAGGGCACCTTAGGACTGAATTTAGGTTTTGGGGCTCAATGGCACTCTTTCACTAAGGATTTAAGGAGGTTTTGCCATAAGAACTCAGAATAGGTTAGTCTCTGCAATGATCATGAGGAAGTCTGTCTTAAAATTAAGCTAATGAACAAATGCATTATGAATAACAGCAGTCTCTAGAGGAGGCTACAAGACCAAGCACGAATCAGTTTAGATCTGTTTCATATATGAAGCATGCAGACAGCTTTCAGGGAAACTCTTTGACACTGGAAGATGAAAGACTAAACTTGATCAAAAAAGAATCTGCTGGCACTGCTGGAAGATGGACTTTGAAAGAGAATCAAACTTCAGTGGCACACACTCAAATGCAGTCTTTCATCCTGAAATTTAACTTAAGTTAGTGTTGGGCTATGGTGCAGTGCCCAGAGGAGGAAGTCTGCAGTGTTGGAGACCTACAACCTTCTGGGAGAGTGGGAAGCTTTCCCTAGAAAGCTCCCTCAATGTACCAAGCACTGCTCATCTGTTGAAAGCTCTGCTAGCTAACATTCAAACCAACAGTGCAACACTGCACGTGGGTTGTAGCGTCTCGACATGGTTCCCAGCTGGTACATCCACAAGTTCAGAGAACATGCAGCAAGCTAAGCAGATCATTTTAGAAAAGTCCAGACACATCTTTCAGTCAAGTGGGAGTTACGAGAATCTACCACTGGCTTATCTGACTCTGCCCACCATCCTCCAAACAAAGTCAAGGTATATGGGAAGGCCCTGGAGATTACTGCAATAATTTGTTCAGAAAGGACTCTGACTCCAGAGAGGTCTGTAGCTCACCATCAGGGTAACAACTATTACCACCCTCTTGTGGTTAAATCATTACTACAGGATGCCACTACACATATCACAATACCAGCTCTATGAAGGACTTCAGTAGCAATGGACTGTGATTGTTAGCGTGATGTCCAAGAAGGTAGAAACTTTTGTTTTCAAACTGGAGAGCAGAAGTAATCCCTGCTCGGGTGTACCACAACTATACAGCTTTCATGACTATGGCACCAACCCAACATCCAACTCCTCATCGCTGAAAAAGACCGCTGCTTTTATGGGAATGTACTGTGCAGCACTGCTTCAGCTTTGGGTGTTGAAATGTGTCAAAGTTATTCTATCAACATGGAAATTTTTCTTTGCAGAAGATACAAGCTGTTACTCTCCACAGTGCCATGCAGGAAGCAGTGTTTTGTTTCAGTCTGAAGCTTTCACAGAGAAGCTTCTCTCAAAAACCAGAACTTTCCCTGTGCAGCCCCTATGCCAGGTCTCATACTGCCCCCTTTCAGGATATTCTTGAGAAACTGAGCGTGTGGCTCCTCAATTCACAGTGAATAAATTCAGTGGCATCACTTCTACACTGGACTTGGCTACCAAGGGTGTGCTGAAACTGCCAGAGCACGTGTCTTTGGCATCAGGCTTTAATGTCTATCCCCTTCCCTTCCACTCCCTAGAAATAGTGGAATCATAATAAAGTCAGTGTATGAATGATCAATTTAAAGAATAGCATTAGCATAATTATTAGAAGTGTTGTCTATCATTATTATTCTATCACAGGGCAAATGCTGAAACTCTGTCAAAGCAAGACGTTTGAAGCTTTCTTTACAGATGAAGCAGAATAAACCAGCAAACTTTTTATTTGCATAGATCTCTCTGTGTGTGTATATATATATATTAATAAAAATACACACACACTATGTATGTATCTCTCTCTATATATACACACACAGAGTTGAGGAGTCTGATGCTACAAGTCACTGCTCAGGGTAATAATTTCATAGGCATTCACAGATCTGCAGGTCTGAGTAACTAGGGTCAGAACCAGTGTACAAAGTACACACAGTGATTACCCTCAGCCTGTCCCAAAACCACTCCAGGATTAAACCAAGCAACTAACAGCACAGAATGACCGCTGCGTTTGGAACCTGCAGCAAGGCTTATGTCCCCCAACTGGAGCTGCAGATGGTGCTCCACTGGGCAGACAGAACCTCACCAGAGATCCTCACCCCCAGCCGCACCAGCGTGACTGCTCTCATGACACATCTAGCATGCAGCAGCCTGCGAGATTTGGAAAAGCAGAAACCAATTAGTTACACAATGATGAGTGTCTCTGCTAGACAAGACTGGTATATCTTCTTTGGTCTGTTTCCTCAGAAAGATATACCACTCCTCTGCTAAACCCCCCACAACTTTTCCTCGTGGATTTGCAAAGGCCACAAGGGGTCAGGATTTTTACATTACTCCAAACCTGAAAACTGGTACCTTGAAACATGTTAAAGCTCTCAGCTTATGCACATGGAATCCAAGAGAAGATCTGCACACCTGTACCCCCAACCCTCCCCATCATCTTCTCATATCCACATACCTTCAGAAGCTTGCCACCTACCCAACACAGTGAAATGCAGAAGGCAATATGTGATATTGCTGCAGTGTGAGGAGTTACAGATGCAGCCTTTGGCTCTGTGCACAGTGGTGGTCTGCTGCACAACAAGGTTACACGGTGGTACTAAAAAGTTTTGTGGAAGAGCAAAATGAGATGAGTCCTGTGATCCTTATAGCACTTACTTTTTTGGATGAAAGCAAGAGAGTTTGGACTGGTTCAAAGTTTGGAAAAAGCTGTGTTTCTTCAATAATATGCATTCCATTTTCATAGCTGATAGCTTTGTGCAGGGCTCCTTGATCTGAAACAACAAAGCAATATATTTAAGTAAGATTCTTAAAATAAAGAGTTAGGGGAAAAAACTGCACAATTGATATGAATTATCTCAATAATCTGCTTGCTGTTCAACTGAAGACTTCACACAATTCTGGCAACGGCAACCATTAAGCCGGCCATCATAAGGAGCTCTGAGCAAGAAATAATGTTCTGGAACAAAGAATGACCACTCAGGGACTACCTTATGTGTGGTTCTGGTGCACTCGTTGCAGTTTTGCAGTTCTTTTCCTGCAACGCTTTTTCAAAGCATATAAGATTCTCCATTTACTCACCATGCATGGCCCGTTACTTTTTCATGAAAACATCAACTGGTGTAAAAGCACTGTAAATACGGAAGACTCAGGAGTTTCTCTTAGAACATATTTCAGCTGGAAGAATCAGTGAATCATTTGAAAAAAAAAAAAAGGCATTTTGCAGAACACACCTGTACTGATGAACATGACATCATATATGCTGCCATTGAGTGCTCTGACTCTGTCTACTACAATCTGGGTATATTTCACATCACGTTTTACTAGTCGAGGTCTGTCTCCCATTGGAGTCACCGAGTCATCCATTAGAGGATGATCTTTAACGAACTGCAATGTTTTGTCTGGTAAATTCAGAGAACTCATGTAGTTTGATGCTCTGGCTTCATTGTTTATGCACTGGCACGTGGCAGGGGGAACAAACAAACAACAAAAAAAAGACAACCAAATTATATCACTCACTTGTACAAAATAAAGACAATTAACAGCAGCTACACGGATTTTCTTCTCTGCGTTACTTTGGCCTTAAGCACACCTCTACATTATACTCATTATACTCATTCTACTGAGGTCTAGTAGTACTTTGGCTTCTATCATGTAGTAATCTTCACGCTTTGGACTACAGTTTTGTTTGGCCCCAAAACACATTTTAGGAAAATACTCCTTTTGAACTCTCATGCTCCTTAACTATTTTTAACTGTCACCTTATTCAACAGTAGCAACAAGATGACTGAAAGGAACATAAGAAAGTAAGACAAGTGTGAAGTAGACCAAGGTCTATGAACATTTTAGTTTGCAGAGCAATGCACCACATTGGATAAACCTGCGGAACCTACTGACACAATGCAATGATTGCTATACTTCTGTTCATCTGAACTAAAAAGTATTTGATGTTACCTAGTGTATACTGACATTTATTTCACCACTAGAAAATTAGTCACAAAATAATGAAAATACAAACCCAGCAAATAACTCAACTATAAATTAAAAAAGAAATTGCACCTTGATTCCCAAAGTTCAGAATAAAACAATTCAGTATTTTTCTACAAAGTCTTTACAACAAAAATTATCCAGATCACAACAAACTAAAATTAAGCTCTGGTGAGTTACCTAGTATTTTTTAGTTTCTTTACTCCTGAGTGTTTAAAAAAAAGACTAGTCCTCGAATCCAAGATTACAGAAACTCACCGCACCAGGTCGTGGATTAGGAATTTCACCATTGTATCGTACCCACTTTGTATGAGACTGTTCTACTGTAGCACTCTGCATGTATTTTCCTTTTGAGAAAACCTCCTCTACAGTAGACAGATTGTATGCACACACTGCTGACAGCCCCACATTATTCCTAAAAGTTCAGGAGGAAAGGAATAAAAAAAATAAATCATACAAGTAATTACTACTTGTAGTAACCAACTGAGATTATAAATATTTATCCAGGAAAAGGCTATACCACACTTACAGTTGTGGAGTGAAGACTCCATATATCACTGGTTCCTTCAAAGTTGGAGACTTGAGAATAAAAACATCATTGATAATATTGAAAATTAAATTCTTGTCAGGGATGGTACAAATTAATCTGGCCTTGAGAAAGGAAGTCCATTTTTTCTGCAAGGTCCTTAATCCTCCTTGGTCCCTCTTTTGGTATTAAAAAAAATAAAAAGGTGTTTGTAAGGAGAATTAGCAGCATTTTTGCATTTAAGAACCACTTCTATACAGCATGAAGTTAATGAGCCCTGTTATTTTCTAACTTTTAATCTATAGTTGCATCAATAAATGTTGACATATTCACAAACAGAAAAGTAAAGAAGCCATGGGAAAATTAGTTGATTCAACAAAAATAATGCAGACCGGTTTCTATCAAAACATAGAGGTAAGATATGAGACTTACAAAAGAACAATACTTCAGCAACATTTAAAAAAATTGAGATGAGCAATGTGTCCTTAAAAAAACCTGCTTATTAGAACAAGTAAAATAAGCACAGAAGTATTAAACTGTCCCTTAAGAAAAATAAGTAGCATTGCATTTGTTTTGCAACATCTAAACTGTGATTTAAATTCTAATGTTGCAATATGCACTTAAACTTGCCTGACATTAATAATTTCATTATTAGAAATGCAGCAATGTCTCAATCCTGGAAGCAGCCACCGCGTTTATTAAGGATTGGCAGTACCGAGGTTTAAAGAAGATATATTGACTAGAAATGTTTCAAAATATTTGCTACTTGAGCTGTAGCTTTGTTACTTCTCTTCAAAAAGCAGGGCATATCTGAACATTATTAGTATTTCCCATTCATTATCCAATGCTGTTATGAAGAGTATTAATCTGTAGAATTTATGAAAACAATTACGTATAAATGCTTACAGATTTGCAACCTGACATTGATTTGTATTTCAAATAAATAGCAGCAGAGCTCTCATATTCCACAATACTCTGCTTTTAAAGTGTGCACAAGCTGTCAGCGGGCAGAGGGCCATAATAATAAGCCCCATGGTAAACCTGCCTCCAGCTGCTTGTTCAATGGAAATCTCAAGGGCACTAACTTGTTATTGGTATTTTGACTTCCATGTTTAAATATAAAACAGCAAAGTCAAAATAAAACATTTCAACCTGATCAAAATGAAACAGTTAGATAAATTTCCTGTTGGAAAAAAAAATCCTGAGGAAATTAATACATTCCACTGAAAAAAATTTTGTTAAATCAACATTTTCTACTAGGAAAAAAACTTGTTCATCAGCAAGATTTTTAACCAACACTCCTGAGTACATACTTGAATTAGCCTAACACACTGAGGTCTAAACACAGCAACTGTGACAGAATCAGGCCGCTGGAGACCATTTTCCTTGAGGCTCTGACAGCTCTAACAGCTCCATCCAGGTCCCATCTGCTACACCACAGTCAAGAGTTAGTCTGCTGTGGACACAGCTACATTTTTGTTTGTATACAGTTACTTGAAAGTAACCTGACAAACATCCCATCCACTCAGCTCTGAAATCAGTTCTTCCCAGGGAGATGTACCTGAACTTAGGGTAATTTAAAAAAAAATAAGAAGGAAAGCCAAGGAAGACACTTTTTCTGTTGCTGGGTTTTGTGGTGGTTGGTTTTCTTCCCCTCGTGGTGGGCAGAACACTAAGATATACTGTAATTTCACCACTGTGCAAAACTAAAGTATTTGTTCCTAAAGCAACAATTAGGCTTTCTCAGTTCTGAAGAACTGATGGAAGTTGTTAATTCACTCAGATTCATGAAGTTTGACCATTCCCATTTAACTGATAGTAAGTCCACAATAATAAATGCTTTTTAACACACACACAAAATTCTAGTTCAATTAGTAAAAGTAAATTGAACTATATCCCACCTTGCACACTCTAGCTATTCTTGGAATCATCAGTTTTCCAACAAATTCATACTCCACAGACACCTCAGTGAAAAAGAAGTATATCTTGTCATCTTCTCCATCTGTGCTGTTTTGATCTGCTCTTATCACATCAGCAAAAACAAAATTGGGCTCTACAGATACAAAGAAAATAATTTAAATATGAGACTACTAACTTGATCCTCTCAAAGACGCTCCAGGAAACCTCTTTTGCCCAAATATCACTCTACATTTACCTGCTCTCCGGTAACTGACCTGCCTACACAGCTTGCTGTTCATAATATGAATAGCATTTCTAAAAAAAAAAAAATTAGAAATAGAGAAAAAAACAAAACCACAAACCCTATGTGAAAGCACCACGATACCTGAGAGACCTCTATGATGTGCTATCTTGTTACTTCAGTGTTCTTCAGCCTACACTCAAGCATGGTTTTCTAATGGGCCGGCAGAGGAACCCTCCCTTGCCTGCCTCTCCTCTATTTTCAGCTATTAGCTGAAACACTGAAAATGACAGGATCATTACAATATATGTAACAAAAAACTCCTCTACTTTTTGGGCATACTGCATCTTTTGGAATACGCTAACTTCATGACTTTGGTCCTTTTGGAAGAAAGCCACGAACTTCTGAGCATTCACAAAACTTGGTCAATTTTGAAATTCAGGAACTGAACCATGATTAGCTCAATTTGAAAACCCGTTAGAGACTTAACCCATTCTCTTCCTTACAGTAACAATGCTGCATTATTGCAAGGATGAACAAGTAGATACAAAACAAAGTGTAGCCCTTTAATGTCAAGTTGAAGCCTGTACATCTTCAAGCTGTTTTCATTGTTAATGATGATAAAACCCCTGAAATTTCAAAATAAAATCTCCTGATGGCACACATGAGGGCACACACTCACGTGTCATCAGTGTATGCCAGTATAACAAAATCCATGCTGAGATATTAGAAAATCGCCCCTTACTCCAGCCCAGGTAGACAAAGAGTTTAAGTGTCTTAAGTGTGACATTGAAGAGGAAAAACAATTTGGTTGCGCCAGTTCTCACGCTCACTTACCATTAAGCCAAGGTATTGCATACTCTGTTCTCAGAGGGCTCTGATGAGAGTGCCGTGAAATGATAGGTTCACTTCCCAAGAAATTGTAAGATGTCCCGGAATAAAGCTCCTCATCTTTAACAGGAAAACAAGTATTTTAGACTTTCTTATGCACTGGACACCAAAAAGGGTACATAAATATTTCAGGAGACTGTGTAAGCTTTAACTTCCCACAAGAATTGATAAACAAGGATTTCCTCTAAATTGCCCCAGACACGTCTTTTATGTTTACATTTCTGCTGACCATTCTCAAGACTAACACTTCCACGCTTGGGTTTATTACTGCTCTAATACAAGCAACTGGCAAAAGTCAGCATTGTTTTTGTGGTAATTTAACACTTAATGTGTAAACCTACAGTTTATGTACCAATATGTAAATTTACTTAAGAAATGACACAGAAGCCTTAGAACTAATTATTTTTCTCCCATTCTATGCCACCATTATTCAAAAATTTGAGATTGTCTTTTATGATTCGTGACATCAGGGTACAACTATGAACTTCAGTTTCACCAAATCAAGATTGAGTGGTGTCTAACCATGCAGCACTATACTCACAATAAATATCTCACTTCCCTATTCTGTCTCATGGATATGTCTTCCAGGCAGCTAAACAGTTCTGCTTGTTAAATTTACTAAAATGACAGTACTTGATATTACAAAGGCAGCCAAAGTACATTTAGACTACCTGGACTAAATCAGTTAAACAACTGAAAATATAGTTTAAAAATTAGTATTTTAAAAGTTGCTTCCAAAACAATCCGGAGTTTGAAGTTCTTTTAAGAAACACGTTAAGGTTGACTACATAAGTATTTTAATGTCTATCTAGATACATACTAAAGATGTAAAAATATGGACACAATATACCATTTTGATATGGAGAGACTGGAGAATAACAGCAGAAAAGATCAAACAATTTTATAAGTAATAATGAGCTATGCAATGAGCTGAACTTACCAATCATAACAGATGTGTAGCTTTGAGCAGGATCAAATGGGCATCTGCCCTTACCATCTTCATTTTTACCTCCAAGTTCAAATGACATTAAGTTCTGCAAAAAAAATAAATTGAAAAACACAAAACAACCATTAGAACTTTTTCTTCAGCCACCTGACTCAAGAAAAAGCAACTGAAAAATTAACACTAAATAATGGATTATACCATCAACTTCCAGCATCAAAGGCATTTTTTGTAGGATTATAAAAGGCATACATGTTTTCAGAGAAACTTATCAAGTCCAGCAGACAGATAGGACATGTGATTCTATGATTTGTGAAGGTGAGAGCAGGAAAGAACATAAGACAAAAAGTTAAATCCAAACAGATCTCAAGAAAGAGTCCCCAAAAATCCAGACAGAAGGCAGAGAATTTATTTGATATATGGAAAGAGCTGGCAATTACTGAATTAGCCAGCACAAAACCAGAGAGTTTTAGACATCAAGGAGCCTTTCTGGACTGGATTTAACGATTTTTGAGATTATGTTAAATTTGTGAAATGGGGCATAATCCAACTAAATTTTAAAAAGCAACAGAGTACTTCAGCTGTTACTTTATAAATCCCTTAAAAACCAAGGGAATGAAGATCAGGAAGATGATGGAGAACTGTAGTCACAATACTGGGGAAGTGATCAGTTATACTGTGTAATGAAGACATTGGAGGCTAAGGGCAATGACTTCTGGCAATGTTCCAGCAGTGACGGCAGGCAGACTTGCAGTCAGGGGAGACAAAAAAGAACAAACAATTACAAGATTTCTCAATTTCAGAACTGTTAAGAGCCATAATAAGGAAAACGATACAAGAGTCAGCAGCAGAAAAAGCAATTTGATTCTGTGCCAAGACTTCACTCTGAAGCATTCTGCACGATGTAGCTGTGGCATATGCAGGAGGAGAGACAAGATATGCATAGACAGGACTCTGAGAAATTTCAGGGAGATCCAGTAATGGAAGAGAGTCACAAAGAATGTCACTTCAGTTTTAGAAACTGTTTTTATGCTAATGCACAATACACAAAGAATTATGAAAGCTAAGAAAAAGTAAGTCTGCAGTTAAACATGATGAATCGATAATTCAGTAAGTGCTTTGAAAAAGAAACAGTATGGTTTATTTCCATACTCTATCATTGCTGTGGGACAGTGTAATAAATGCTCTAAATAACGACGAGAACTGAAATTGCATCAGTCTTTGGGAATGGAGATTAACTCTTTTAAATGAGCTGCTTTTAAGTTACAGTTGTTATTAGGTCAAAACATGCACATTCTTACCAGGTAATCACATGTTGGCTGAAACGCATTGGTTCCACATACATAGAGAAAAGTATCATTCAGCTGTTGCAAGACACGCACATAATTACGACACTCTGTCTGTAATAGAGAATGAGAAAAGGACCCGTCTGATAAACCACAGCTTCCACATTCCAACGTAAAGAAACAATTGAAGTTGTATTGTCAGCTTGCCTCTTGCCGCTACGTATGCCATACCACACCAGTAAGGCTGGGTGACACAATCACCACTGGGACTCCATCTCCCTACAATCTCCAGGAGCTCTAGTCCTGCAGCATCTGGCTTCCTACAGCCCATGGTGCGCGGCTGCCTCAGTATACCTATCAGGGTAGTATGGCCAAGTGCTCAGCAGGGTACATCTCAAGTTGTTCCATGAAAGCACAAGCTCCAAAGACACATCTGATCCGTGAAAACAACTACTTAAACATCAAATAAATTTTAGACCTTGTAAGCCTAGATGAAACAATAAGTGATAGTCAAGGTTGTTTCTTAAGTAAACCTCTAATACCATTAAATTAGCTACAAAGCTTTGTCACTTATATCTGTCCTTTTTTTTTTTTCCAGTCCTTGATATCAATTGCTCTTTCGTACAAGGAGGCTTCTTAATTTGTTTGGCTCTGAAATAGAACAAGGACTTTGAGCAACGTCTTGAATAAAGGATACCATAGAATTTCAGAATAGCAGCCAAGAAAAAACCTCTCAACATTCACTTATTAACAACACTCCTTAACTCTTGCTGGTACACAGTCAGATACCACCACTGTACTGCAGCTGCATAAACTACTTAAGGATTCATAAGCACAGTCCTTGATGAGCCAAAGCAGGTATTTCTGTGACTGTATGGTGGGTTTGGTATGGCAGAAACTGAGGGTGGGGTGGTGGTGAAGAGCAAAACCAGTTTTCTACCAGATGAGGTCCTCCAACAGCTGCATAAATACTTTCTTCTGACACTAAATAGCATAGTGGTGATGGGTGGAGGAGAGGACTGCCCATTTGAGTGTAAGAAATAGAAGTAGTGGCGTAATATCCACTGTGAGCCTTTTGAAACTACTGCACTAGACAAAACATCATGGATAGAACATAAATGTGACTAGCAAAAGGCTATGAGTAAAATGAGGAAGAAGCATGGCTGGCAATAAGTGTCACTTGCTAAACTAGAGGCAAGGGGGAAAAAAAAAAGTTTGGCACTCTGGCAAAGTACTTATTTATGGGGTCTAGCATTCCTTTTAACTACCACCAATAATCTCTGCAGAGGACTGGTGGAGATACACACAGAGTCTACTAAACTGTATGCACATGCCTATGAGAGATCAATTCACATCTCATATCCATTGTGACTGTATGTGAATATTATTACTAGTAATCCCAACTGAATCTGCAGAACACAAAGATCTCTGAGTGCATCCTGAAGAGGCAGACAAGTAGGAAATAAATACTGGCCACACCTCACGATAGGATAATGTATTGGTGGTTGATGGTTGTCAGTCAAAGGAAAGGCAGTAAACTGAACCAAAGGAGAGAGAGCCCACTCCCAGCTCAAGAAGCCCCGTGAATGCAGGATGCCCATCAGCCCTGGATACAGCACCTGTGGTTTTGTAAGAGTGTGAACCAAAGAGGCTGCTGATGTCAAATCCTTGCAAGTGTAGGGTAGGACTCCTTTTTGTATTTGCATGGCTTGCACACTTCCACTTTCAAACCTGTGCTGAAAGCCTGACCATCAGACTTGCCCAGCAAACCCTCACTTCACCATATCACTAAAAGAAGCAGCGCTACACAAGCAGAAAGGCACATCTGCATACAGTCAACCACCTCAAGTAAACCTTCTCCACCAAAAGGCAAAACAAGCAAGCCAGCTGGTGTGCTGGCAGTTGTGAGGAGTCCGTGGTTCTCCGAAACATCCAAGGGATCCCTGGGTCTGAGCTGTCTGCACTGTTGACCTGTCAGGAGATCTGGCTGCTCAGGTGCCCGGGAGCTGTCTGAGCAGTCACACCAGCAAGGTGCTTCTGCAAGGGGCACACCCGTTGGGCACCACAATAAGGATATAACCTAGTTAGCAAAACACACTGGTGGAACAGCACCGGCCTAATAAATAAAAACTATGCCCTAAAGCAAAGCAAGGAAAATTATCAGCCATTTTGTAAAATCAAGTGCTGGGCAGGAATCATTACAGTAACAAAACACAACAGTTATCATCAATTATCTCAGTGCAAATAATACTGGTTTATCATTTTAATGGAAAAACTTCTAACACTAAGCAAGCATCAGGCAGGGTGTGTTCAGATTTTGATACACTCAAATAACATTCACCAGCAAGAACTAATGAACTAAGAATTAAAAAAAGAAGCCTAAGCATGCTGCAATTTCTAAAGCTCAAGTTAATTAAAGAATTTATGTGATTATTTGAAAATTTTAATTTCAAACTGTTGGTGCCTTTCTTCTTTTAACATCACTCCTCTTGAAGTGAAATGTGTACCATCTTTCTCAAAGTTCAATAAAAGTACCTACCTGTTCTGATTTGCCCTTCACTGCACATTTAGTCCTTTTATCTTCTGTGACCTTCCAGTGTAACTAAGTGAAAAAACAAGCAACAAAAAGGCACATTCAAAGCACTTCAATTCGAAGTCTGAAAATCTTGCAGTAACACACACAAAAAGGCAATCCTAAAACTACCTGCAGCAAATGCAAGCCATTTTGCAGGTAGCTTTCAAAGGTTCAAACCCATTCTTTCCTGGGGAGGTGACATTTCCAAATGCATGTGCCTTAAGTGGGGCTAAACCACTGCTATTATCTTTTGTATTCATCATGATGTTTCCTCTCAAATTGCTAATGAAGTTCCATTACCATATGCAGTACAAGGAAATGCAACTCTTAACTGTTGTAAGTAGTTCTCAATTTCACTGACACAAGAATGAAAAACACTGGGGAGGGGGGTGTGGGGTGTGAGGGGGTGGTCCAGGGAGGGAATGAGAGAAAATTTACTGGATCAATTTACACTACTGGGAGAGGTTCAACTTTGTTGTCTGTTACATGTGCTCATAAAATAAGTTTTATATGGTGGTGAAATTGCCTACCACCACTCTTTAACATTTGGTTCAGCTTAAAAATCATATGAGCATCTTCCTAAATATCCAGGGTGGGACTCCATGTTGCACTTTTAAGTGTCAGCCTGTGCTGCTGACGGGATGAGAAGCAGGAGCCTGGGAAGGACTGCAAGCAATACAATGTTAGCAGACTTCTGCGTGGCCTAATGAGAAGCCAGTGTCAGCACATCCAGGGTACCTCTCTAGGCAAGCTGGGTCAGACCTGTATGCACCATCACTTGCTGTGCAGACACATCTAGAGACACAAAACAAGCTGGAACTGAAAGGCCTTATTTCATTTAAACCATGTCTGCAGCCTGGCCCTCCTGATTCACATTAATAGGAGACAGTCCACTCCCGATAATAAAAATATGTGTAAGAACCACCATTACAGATGATACACAAAGTCCCTTCAGTCCAGCATCCTGTCCCCAAGAAAACACCTATGGCAACCCCTAGTTACTTGTTTATATCCAACTTCTTTCCTCCTCTCATATGATGGCATGTTTTACTCAAAGAGTCTTCCAAAACTAACACAGGAACATCCCACACTGAGTGTCTTCTCTTTTATGTACCTATCACCTAAAGTGCAGTGCTTCTGATAGCAGGAAATTAAATCAAATTTGGAGTATGATTTTTACATGGAGAATAATGTATTAAAAAAAAACCCTGCATACCTCATGCTGCTTTTCAGCGATATTCACTGCATCTAATGCAAAGATCACTTCTCTGGCTCCTACATATAGAACATCTTTGTCTTCACTTAACAGCAGGGTTGAATAGTTGGATGCTTCTGATTCATGAAAATGTATTAGCTGAACTTCTGTTGAAAGAAAAATAGCACCATATGAAGAAACATGATCACTTAGGGTCACATTTATGGGTCATTTTTCTAAGTCGTCTAACAGCTGTTGGATATCTGGAAAACAACAAAGGTTAGTTTGAACAACCCATGTAACAGATGAGAGACTCCTCAGAAGCTTGGTTCAGTAGAAACATCATATCAAAATCACTGGTCCCCACTTCCTCATTCAATTTCAAATGCCTAAATATTTCCTCTTGTAGTGATCCCTATAACTCACATCTTCCTTCATTCTTATAACACCTGTTAATTCACTTTTTTCCAACCTTCCATTTCACACACCCACTGTCAGGTCCTTCCTCCCCTTTCTACCTTTCACATTCTTACCTACTGTGGAAAATCAGATCAGTCGCCATGTCTCTTGCAACCACCCCAAACAAATCTCACAAAAAATCCTGTACTTTAGAAGATGACACTTCAGCATGTTACCACAGCAGAAAGACACAGAAGATAAAAAGGAACCATTTACAGACAGTCTATAAGCTGGTCTTGAAATGGAGACCAGAGATGAAATGCATGTGATATAAAGAAATAACATGAAGGAAAATCAACATGAAAAGGAAGAAGGTAAGAGAAAGAGGGGGAACACAGGGAGAAAGGCAAGTGGGAATGAGGAAGCATGCAGATTGGAACAGAATGGCTTGGAGAAAGATGACACAAAATGACTAATTCATAGGAAGATTTTTTTTTTTCTGCATGTATAACTATAATGGAAAAATGACTGAAAGCTTGAGAGACCGTATTTTGTGCAAGAAATTACCACAAGATTAATTAAGCATGGTTTTTTAAGATATAGGCAGAAAACAATGTGTTATTATACCCCAGAAACATTAATTTTAAACTAGATTCTCAAGCATGTAATTTTAAAATCTTTTACTTGGCAGGAGAATTTTCACCAAATGGATGAAATTCTTCATACAGCTCCACATGTTCACTCCTCCACTGAACAAAATTCCCCCTCCTATTCAAAGCAGGCTTCCCATATTTAAAGGCAACAATCTTCAGCAGACAGAGACAGAAAGAAATAGCAGGAATGAAAATAAATTCCATTCATTTTGAGAAATTTGGATGTATGTCTGCAGTGCATTCATAATACCATTAAACAGTAACTTGCCAAATTTTAACTATTATACAAGATAGGAGCATCATGGAGTCTAAGCAAGAACTACAAGCCTTGACTAGACTATCCTTTCAGAAAAACTACTTCAGCAACTTACTAATTGCTATACCAATAAACAGGAAAAACACTTCCTAGAGTCATCTGATAAATCAGCTTATTATTACTACATTCCTTATCTCCATCTATTTTTTCCTATGCTATGACTACTCAGTATTTAGCATCCTTATTTAAGGCTGCTTCTTCATACTGTCCCTACACTTGCTTGGTTTTGTGTGGTTACAGCACACTTGGGTAAGCAATTGTTGCTAACTAACTAGTAGTAAAGAAGGACCCAAACACAAAATCTTGTAAAACCTAAAGCATCCATGACACATGAGGGGCAGGGGGAAGAGATAGGTTGGGGTGGAAAAGGGGGAAAAAAAAAATATTAACAAACAGCAGCAAATAACTAGTCTGTAGTCCTTGCTCTAGAGTTCTCTTCAGACCCTGGCTAAATTATTAAACCAAAAGCTAAAGGATTCCCTGATACCCATCACTTCTCTTTGCACCACATTTGCTGACTCCTGACAATTGCATTGGGAGGTTATAAGTATTTGCCGCAACTTCAAATACTGGGAAGGTGGTGTTCTGTGAAATGTTGTTTCAACTCTTAACAGCATGATATGGTGCCTAAAGAGGGTCAAATGCTTATCTTTCCTACACCTGGTGACTTATTTCCTGCACAGGATGGCTTTGTGTCAAAATGCATCTCAGTCTGAAAAAGCATTAAAAAAATTACAGCTGGAAAGGTGCATTTTGCCAGTATGTTCAGACTCAAAGTAAAAATAATTTGATTAAAATAAAATACATCTATGAGGTTTTTCTATGGAAGCGAGCTTCAGCTGCAAGATCCTTTAGCTGAGAAAGCCACAGTCGAAATTCCTCCTCTAAAAAGCTATGTTTTTAGAACTGCTTCAAGGGTCTGAAATCAGTTAACCTAGTGCCTGAGTCACTTTGGAATATTCCAGTCCTAAACACTTCATAAGATGAGCAAAGCCAGCAACACTTGACCAAACTTGCAGCAAGCAGGCTGGAAGAACACAGAGCCTCAACAAGTTCCAGATACCACAGAAACCCTGAAGTTGTGGCAATGTCCCATATTACACTAAAGTTTCTCTTCTTACCTCTGTGTTCCCAAGTGATCCTCGGTACTGGGCCAAATGCAACTGCCACTTCCAGTAACAAACCCCAAACTGCGTAAAAAGCACACAGAGCCATCTTCAGTGTCCTTGCTCTACAGGGCTCCTTGGATAACTGCTGCAGGTAGCGTCTCTTTGGCAGAAGAAATGCAAATCCCAGGCAGTATTAGAGACCAGGCATTTCAGACCTCAAGAGCAGTGCAAAAAGGCAGGCTGGGAACAACCGTACAAGTACGTGCTTTTCAGCAGATCACTTCAAGGGAACGCACATTTTCCAGGATGCTGCATACAGAGACTGCCCACACTCTCCACAGGCTGCAGAGCTGCTGAGAAGCACGACTGAGTGCATTCTTCTGTTTCGTTGCAGAAATAAATGATACTGTGGAGAGAGGAGGGGAGCAAGAAGTAGAACAAAAAGCAAACCAAGTACTGCCAAAAATAGCACATTGTATACACTGATCTTGCAATACTTCTACAGCTATCCGCATGGCTTAATTAGGATAGAGAGTACATTAATTGGTGAAAGTATAATTCTTAAAAACAAGCCACACATTACATGGCAAATAGGCAATAACTGAAAACAATCATATTTCAATCTAGAATGCCAAGTATAAGTATGTTGAACTGCCACTTATGTTTAATGCACAACATTCAACTCCAGTTTACATATTTTCTTACTTTTAATAGTGAGTTAAAGAAAATCCCACCTCTCTGATAAATGATAAAGATAACAAAAATCACGGTGACGAAGTTCAGAGAGCAAAAGACATGAGAAGTGCAGCACTGATCTTAAACATCGGTTACACAAACCTGCTGCACCTCCCATCCTTGGGATTCTATGAAGAGAAGTGTCATTTTTAGCAGTCTCTTCATGCTACTAATGCACTCAAGGTGTGAGGGGCTAGAAAAACTACAGCAATGGAAACAAAGAGCTAATGCACTGCATACAAAAATAAAGGGAGAAAATGCTTAAATACTAAAACTGCCAGATGTCCTAGACAAGTCACCCTGTCTCTGAGCCAGCCACTACTGTCATGCCCAGAAAGGATTCTATCCTCAGCAACCAACAAAACCATTCACTGCCTTCTACATCATCTTCCACAAGTCTCCACTGCTCCTGTATTCCTGCAACCACTCCTAAATCAAGATTCATTTAAGTATTTACCAGAAGAAGCAAATGCAATCATGACTAAAATACTGCATATGGATACACTTTGAGGACTGTACACTTGGGGGATGTGAGAAAAGCACGTTGTCCTCTGCAGCAGAGTGCAGAAGGTGCTAGATTTACACCATGCCATAGCCTGACACACTTGTGTGACAGCAGCAAGAGACATGCCATAATCCAAGATAACCATAATACCTAGAGGTTATCCAGCATGAGGGCAAGAAAGGGTTACAAAACCCTTAGTAGCATTCAAGAAGAAAGGGGAAGCACTTAAGGACAGATGTGAAAAAATAAGGCAAAGCTGCAGCAAAAACTTCTCTAAGGACAAGTATGATGCTGGTGGCCTCTTTGGGAGGGAGAGGCCACAGGTTTAAGCAGGCAAAGGCTAGGAACTTCTGGGAAGTGCAGCCAGTGATCTGCTACAAACACAGAAGTAATATGGCTGAGTATAAGATGGGCAAATACATTAATGATCACAAGCAAGGTTAAAAAAACAAAAAAAAGTCTCATTTAGTCCTTAAAATCTTTTGTCTACTAAGAAAGATCCCACACAAAACTACAGCTTGCTTGATCTGAACCTGGGACCTAAATAATTTTAAAGTATTTTTTTAGTTTTGCTAAGCACTTTGGATCAGATCCAACTGTTCGTAAGTCATTTTGGTTTTTAAGGCACCGTATTTTCAGTTAAACTTACTAGGCTTGTTTGTCTGTCTTGCACCCTTCCTGTTTACCACCATGTATAAGCAATTCCACGTTTTACTTTCCAACACATCAAAAAGTGCCTACTCATCAGCATTGCAAGGTATCACACAAATGTATTCTGAGACAAATGGCTTTACAGGTAAGTACTTGGAGAGTTCAATGATTATTCCATTGTATTTTAATGCAAATGGAAGGGAAAACCCAGCATTTTTAAGAAAGATCTTTGAGACATTATTTCTACACACCAATTCTTTTTTTCATGCCACCTTTTTTTACTAAGACTGCACATAGTAATAAATTCCCTGTTAATTCCTGACTTTTTTTAAATAAGGAGACAGCCAGAAAAATCATTATTTAGTACCAGTCCCAAAAATAAGCAATCATTTACTTACAATACCATACAGTAAAGAAGTTTCCAGAGAAGGCTTCTGGAGTCCTGTACGTTTTCTGGACATTAAAACAGGATTAGCAAATCTATGCCCTCATAACGGAAAATTCTGAGTCTCCCTACAGCCACAGTTACACTCCTAGTCTACCTGAGCTACCTCAGAAAATGCAGAACGATGACAAAATCTGAAACATAATCACATTAGCTTCTGAAGAAGACATAAGCTCTGCTCGGGTTAGTGCCCACTTTGCTGTGTGGCCAAATTGCTCTGGCCGCACAAAGCAAAAATCTGTTATTTCATTCCCACTGTACAGGTTTGCAAGACAGGCCCTTTTTCACATTACTAAGTTTGACTTGCGGGACATTATTTGTTGATCTAAGGTAAAATTTCGCATGTTAAAAAAGGGAGTGAGACAGACTACAGTGAATGTTACATGCCCAATTGTGCAAGATACACTTTGTTCTCATTCCTACTAGTTTAAATAGAGATGAAAATGCACTCAGGACCTTGTCCTTTAATTTATCCTTCAATTTAATTACTCTTCTTCCCGCCCCCTCCTCCCGCAGCCCTCCTTCCCCAGCTTCCCTGTGCTGAAAATTATCTGGGATAACTCCTTCACTGACATTCACTGGGAAGTCATCCATAATCTAATATGAACCTGGTTTTATATAACACAAGGGGTAGAAGAAGGAGTTAAAAAAAAAAAAAAAAAAAAGGCCCAGACAATGGCCTAATTTCCAAATTAGCTCAGTTCCATCAGAGTTCACTGGCTTTCATTAGATTTGAGTGCTTTGCATTTCTGAAAAGTTAGGTCTCCTAATGCTTTAGGTTTTACTCCTAAAAATGAGACACAGTTTGCTTGATAACAAGAGCACTTAAGCAAAGCAGAAAGAAACCTGAAATACTTTGTTACATAAATTACAGTGACTACAGGTCTACTTTTATGTTTTCTGTTAATACTGCTGAAAATTTTCTGAGGTAAATTTAAACCAGTTATTTTAATTTAGGTACTCTGATGATGATAATGATTTTAAATCAATGCATAATGACTAACTGGAGCAAAATCTGTACACTACTTGCATGAGTTTTCTACAATGCTTGTATTTATGGTGACTGAAAATAGGGCAACTATAGAAGAAGAAATAATCAACAGAGCTCCTGTCAGTTTGGCAGAACACAGCTGGAAGTTCAGAGTTGTGAACATTCCCATTGACACGCATAATTTTAGTGCACAGGCAGAGAAATGGGAAGAAACAAGTTTCTGCTCTCTCAAAGGACAGAAAAATCAAGACTGTTCAGGCTAAGTGCTAATAGGGAATACTAGCACAAATTTGGAAAGCAGAAAGTTGTGATGGCATATATTGACTCTTACCAAGACTGAAAAGCATCTGTGCCAGTGGCCAAATAGTCCACTTTCTAGAAAAATGCAAAATCCTAGCCCTGAAACAAGACAAGCTGAAAAACCAACAATGGAAAGATGACTGCCATCTCTCCCACCCTCTGGGACACAGAGGCAAAGTAAGCACAAAGAGGTGTTTGTGAACATAGAATTCCATCTTTCACAAATGTCAATTCAGCAGCCCTTATCAGTACCAAATTAATTTTTTTGTAAGTAATAAAATGCAACCTCAAAAACCCAGAGGTCAGTGTCTTCTTCCCCAGACAGCATGGTAAAGCTGGATTCAAGCTTGCATCTTGTACACGTCATACTTGCACAAGCTAAATTCTGGAATTCCAAAGTTAGGAAGTGCCCAATTCTGCAACCCTGGTTTTGAAATCTTCTTTTCTTCTAATAAATACTTAGTTGTATTGTGCAACTTCTGAATTTTGCTCAGGATTACAGAAATTGCTAAATGGATCTATCTTTATCTTCTCTATAAAGGTTAAAACCACATGAAAATTTACTGACACACCCACAGCAGTCAGCATTATAGCTGGGATCCTTGCAATTTCCAATAAATAATTGTTAGAATCACAGAAGATCCAGCCTCTCCCTGCAGAAAGCCAAATGGGCACTGGCCCTCCTGGCCTAATCCTGTCACTTTTCCCGATTCTCCAGGCACACCAAACGTCCACACCATTTTCCTCCCATTTTCTGTTCTACTATTCTACTATTTCTACTTCATTCCCCTCTCCCGGGTTATCTTTTCCTGCAATCCCCCACCTACTCTGGGCTAATGCTCCCATCCGTGCTGCTACCACATCCTCCTCCCCCAACACAAGCAGTGCACAACTACATGACTACAGGTGATGCAAGCCCCAGAGAGGCTGCTAGACAAAAGATCACCTTCCTCTGGGCTAAAAGGCCTTCTAACACACACACTTCCCTTACTTATCCATGAAATCACTTTCATAGCACTTGCCGTCCAGGCACAGCAAACAAGGGCCTCACAGTAAGTGACAACTGACTGCAAGGCACCTTTTCTTCCCACCACCAGGAGCGAAAAACTGCAGCAGGTTTCCCAGACAGCCTACCTTGCTATTTTTAGATTTTTAAAAAGTAATAGTAATAATAATTATTCATTTATAAAACTTGTAAGTTACTATGATGAGGGATACGAAACCCAGTATGTGGAGACAGGCAAATTTACGAGCTAGTTTCTTCCTCCGGCAGAAACGGGAGGGGGGAGGGAGGTGGACATGTTTAAAGGATTCACCCGTCAGAGGGCATAAATTGCAAATTCTCCCAAAATAACTTTCTTCAAAGCCTTTTGAAAGCTTTAACAGAATACAGACCTCCTTCAATGTTTACTGATGCCTGTTTGATAACAAAGATGTGAAGGCTTCATACATGAAAAAACAAATCCACCGAACTCCCACTGTGAGATTTTGCTTAAACCCAATTTTTTTCAATTTGCCCGAAGTTTTCTTTCCAAAAATAGAACAAAAAGTTAGAAATGCTTGTATTTTAAGTAATCAAAATTACACAGTAAGAAGTGTACAATTTACCTCTGACAGCTGAGTTTTATTTATGGAGTTCGTTTATTTTAGACCACGAAGGACAGGCCCGATATATCCTTTGCTTCAGTTCTCACCCTTTCAAAACCTCAAGCAAATGTGCCATTTTTAGACTGTCTAATGAAAACCACAATTTTTACAATCTTTTTCTTATTCCACAATACATATGGACTCATTTTCTGTGAAGGTAAGCTAAAACCTCAAATTAGCAGACCAGTAGCCCTTTATGACTAACATACATGTAAAGCACAGGATTATTTACATTTCAGACTGTAACCAAAATACTTCAGAGTTGCTAGCTGCTTACAAATTAGACAAAGCTTTTTAAGATAATTTGATGTGGTCTTTACCTCCACCACAAAGCTTGCTGCAGAAGGTACACTAGTGATAAGAGGATAAAAATTCTGAGGAAACTGAAATTTCCAGCATTGGGCGGAAAACTTTTGTGAAGACAGAAATTTAGTATTTTCCTGATTCTGAATGATAAATATGCCAGGAAGTAGTAATCAAGAAACTAATGCTTGAGCTTAAAGCAGAGAATATTACTATCTTCAGTGAAACACTTGAAGAGATCCTTTTTAAAGAAAAAGTCAGATTCCTGTTCTTTTCTTTACTGCTATGTGCATTTTTGGGGGAAAAGATTACAGGAAGACTAAGTATTATACTCCCCAAAAAAGGGGATGATTCTTACAAGACGACAGACGGGAGATAAAAATTCTTATTTTTCAGATTATTATGGGTGGATTGTTAGAAATATCATGTTAGCTTGCAATTCCAAAGAACAACAGGAAAGAGCAAATGGGTTTGTTTCTGCTTGCTTCATCTTCCTTTAAGAAAAAGAAAGGTAGCTCTGGCCTTGGACAAGTCAACCTCTGAGCTATCAGAGGTTGTAGGCACTATTGTGGGTCCTCAGCCTGGCTCTGTAGAAGCAAACGAAACAGAAATTATTAATGTAAAACTACATGGATGATCAGTGGGACCCAACCACTGCTGCAGTGCCAGCACATTCTGCTAACTTGGATGTTGAGCTATCCCAAATCCAGAAATCAAGAGCTGCCCCCAGGAGAGATGTGTTTTAAGATCCTTTCCTGCCTCACTGGCTTCTCCCAGATACTAAACCTGAGTTGTGACACTGTCAGTGCTGCAGTGAAAACTGTTCAAATGACCAAGAAATAAAAGTCCCTGAAATTCCAAGTCCATCTTCCCCTACCACTTAAACTTACTCTCACAAAAACACTCAGGTTCTTCCTCATTTCTTCTTGGGCTCATAGGGCTGAGTCAGTCATTGAAAGTTATTCGAAGATGCCTGCTGGCACTTGCACAAGTACCTGTGTGTCTAGATTAAGAGTCACATGTGCTTTTAAAGAAACTATCCTAAATGTCCAGCAACGCTTTAAAAGATTCAAAAGTCTCTGAAAGCAAGCCCAGCACCCCCTCACACAAATAAACTGCATAACACAGGAGAGCTGCAATCCTGAACAGGACCTTGCAGTGGTAACTAAATCTCAGGTAAACATAGAAGATGTTCCCAACTGAAAAAAGTCGCTTTTCTGATAAGTTTCTTGAGAGATACTCTGGTCTTAAACAAAGTAATAAATTGAACTTATAATTAAATCCTTATTTATGTTTTGTGGTATGAATTAAGTCCTTAGTGTTCTCGCAATGTATTTATTTGTTTTACTAACAAATACATCTGTAACAGTCGCTACAAATCCACCACAGTCCCCTTGCTGTTGGGGGGGTACCCCTAGTTGCACTGTACGTACCTGCCGCCCCTTGGAGCCTCCCACACACCCCTGGAGCTGGTGAGATGTCAGAAACACGTCCTTTCTGCAAAGAGATAAGAAACAGGGTTTGACATCATTACCACATAAACCCGAAGGGCAAGTTTTGATATGGGAATTATAATAAATCCTCCCCCAAGAGTTTGGCTTTTATTTCCCAGATTACCAGGGCAGACTGTTTCTGACAGAAACCAGAACAGATACATTTGCATCCAACAGTCCAAGATCCTGATGATGTACTTAACACAAAGAACTATTAAGCAAGTCCTGTCAAAAAGCATACACCACCAGCCTTTTTCAAACTCAATCTGTTTCCTCTATCCCAAGCTGGCTGGAAACTGTTCAGCACAAAATTATTTAGCATTGGCATTGCAGTAGCGATTATTGATCCTGTTTAGAGTCTGAGACCCCTCTTATGCTGGTATGGGACGTACAAAGAAAGCTCAGACAGGTTAGACACCAGCCAGCCCCACTAACAATTACCTTCACTAAATCCATATAAAGCAGTTCCAACACTCTACTGTATTACTAAATGATTGCATTATGCACAAGCATATCTGGATATTTACAACAAAACCTTGCATGCCCAATATTTATGTTGGTGTAATCAAAGGAAAACAGTGAGCCACTCCAAAGCAATCACAACAGGGCAAACGATGCATTAATCCCAACACTCTTTTAGGTAACATACTTCTAAATATGCAGATTTATAATACTGCTAATATCAGCTTGTATTTAGCCTACATACTTCCTACTGTTCAATCAGCTGCATTTAGAGGGGTGTGGGCTACCTGAAGGGATAATGCAAGTAACCCTGGGTCTGATCTGGATCTCACTAAAGTCAACAGTAGGACGGTTCTCACAGATCCAAATGGGAAAAGAATGCAGCTAAAAAAAAAAAAAAAAAATCCCCATTGCACATCTGAAGGCTTCATTCTTGGTCCAGAAGATCATAATGAAAGGCTCACAAGACAGAAGGCCCCAAAAGAAAAAGGCCAGACAAAATTACAAGAAACAGCTTGATATTGCAGGTCTCTAAGGAAAGGAAGAGCCTCTACAGGGTCTTTACAAAGGTACAGTGTCTGCCTTGTCCTTCAGCAGTGCATGTTTTGTGGCTGCCAGTATGGCAGCAGCTATCAAACAGGTACATCAAACCTACTTTTGCTTACAAAAAAGTCATTTTGAAGTCTCTGGGCTTTTTGCATTAGATAGGGGAACGTAGTCTGACTTTCCCACACAATGTCTTTTCAACAAGATACCCCATGGAAATCCATTGCCTATTTATACTATTAACCACTGGCTATTTTTCACAAGCACTAGCAGCATATAGCTGACTTATTTTTGCTGTAAAAACCACCATCTACCTTTCATGGTGCTGGAGAAAACAGACCAATCAAACTGTTAATCATCCGGTCAGTTATGAAGTTCTCCATGAACCAGCTTATACCAGATCATCTTTATGGCTGTAGCTACTCAATATTTAAGTGGAGACTTAAAATTTACAAAAATCGCTGTTTGCCAAAAGAGACCATCGATCACCACCATCACTATTGCTAGCCAGAGTTTTCGGATTCCGAGGTGCTTCCTTATGGCTTACTGCTTGTAGAGCAAAGGTGTAATCATCCATTTTAGCTGTAGGTACCTTACGGGAAAAAGAAAATTCTCTTTTGCCTCTGCTGAGAAAAGACTTCTAGCAGCCTGTGGCTTGTTGAAGTGCTTTCATTATAACAAACCACTTGCATCTAAATAAATAGCTACCGTAAGTGTCAAGCTGCTCATGAAAACCCTTGCAGCAAACTAGCTGACCTGCAGACTTCACTAGCTCTCAAAACAGCCTGCCATGGAGATTTCCACATCTCCACAAGTGACTCTAGGTTTCTGAGCTAGGGTCTGAGGCCACTGGGGACTGGAAAGGCAGCTGGAGCCTGAGACAGCCCCTGGATTTCTGTGGAGTTGAGGAGGGGCTGAAGAGCCACAAGGACTTTGAAGCTGTGGCACCTCAGCTCAAGAACTTGGCTCCTAAGAGCAGTGCATCCCTCCTCGGTCTGCCTCTCGGGAAGGGGCCACTAACCATTACTGCTTCTGGCAGAGAAGCCCACAGACATGGGGCCAGCTGTGAGGGTGGCTGGGATCAGGTGAAGGGTGCTTTGCAAGTAGGGGCTGATTCCTCTCTTTTGATCACACTGCCGCTGGCTGCCTGTCTGGACAACACCTGTAGTCACGCTACACACATGAGTAACTACTTGCAGCTTGCCAAAAGCTATGACATAATTAAACCCTTTAATCCAACCAGGACTTGAGTATGAAATTAACATCCGTGTGAGCAGGATGGCATGGACCCTTTGGGTCCTCTTGTTTGACCCAAGCCCTGCAGGAAATCCTTTAAAGCAGGCATAACAAACTTTATATGCTGTTGGGTTTTAAGAGTGAAAACCGTATTTCACTGTAAATTTAAGGAAGAAAACCCTGTTTCTTCTGGTAACAATTATTTAAACTTGGGGGGCGGGTACAGGAACAACAAAAAATTACAACATAAAAAGCTCATTATTTTGACAACTGTGACTAAGTCCTCAAAGATTAAAGAAAACACCTACCGGATTGCAAATGAAAGACAGTCTGGAATATATTATGCAGACCAACATGATAGTCACCTTAAGGAAATTTTTCATAAAAGAACCACAATCCTTCATATATGTGTGTTTGCATATATTTAATTTGAGGACTTTCTTTTAATCTGTCAAATTCCAAAGTACATTCATCTATTACAAGGTACTTCTGGCTGTCACAGCTTACTTGTATTTAAAACAAAACAAGAAACCACACACACAAAAACCCACAAAACCCAAACACCTAACTTCCACTATTTCCTTCTGCCTATCAATTACCATCCAGATCAGAAGCAATTCTTTAACCCTCTATTCAAGCATATGCCTGCTGCAACCAGATCCTAGGGATTCTAAATAAGAAGGAGAAAGGAAATACAGAAGAAAACTACCTTATAAGCGAATTTTAATTACTCAGAGAGCTCTTTGGGAGACCACGGAGGCAAATTTTGTTTGCAAATGTTTGTAGTATGACAGCACTATTCACCAACCTTACCAAAATACAATTTCCAATACTTGCTGATTGCAACTTGAGGTATATTTGCTGCCCGTATCTCAAGTCAGCCACAACCTCTATGCGCAAGCTTTCTTAGAAAACTTATTTTAAACATTAGTGTGGAAGCCACAGGTAAAGCCAACAGAGCTGTGAGAACTAAGGCTGAGTACACTGACCACAGGCAGCACACTAAAAACATTCCTGTGAATGCTATGTGTGGTTTTAGAGTTTCAAAATAATTATATGAAAAGGTAGGCTAGGCTGCAAAATTCAAGAACTGTGCATATTACCAGCACTTTATTTTAATAATTATGTATTTGGCTTATCAAAATAACTGTTGCTGACTGCAGCAATTTCCACAGATCCCATCTTCTCACAATGGGACTGGTGACAATACCCACTAATCACCGGTGCAAGACATTGCGGGGGGGGGGGGGGGGGGGGGGGGGGGGGGGGGAAATCAAGTAACAGACACACCACAGGATTTACGGAGAAAAAGATCAAATATTTTTCCCCTTTCCCACTTGTAAAACTTGACTTTTCATAAAAACATCTTTACTTCACAGAACCATTTACTGGTCTATCAACATCCGCCAACTTTTTCTAAACGTTACGTCAAAGTGAAGATAGGTTCTCCTTGGGCTTGACTTTATGTGCATGATCTTTAACCTGCAGCAGAGCCTCATGCTAACCAGGTTTTGGAACAACAAAGCAGAAAAGTCCCCTTATGTCTCAGTCATTTTAATTTAGCCCAAATTGGACTGGGATCTTCCCCCATCACCCTGACACTCCTCAGACCTCACACTCTCAGAAAAGCCAAGAACAACGTAGAGACTATCACAGAGGCAGAGAACCCAGGACTCCTACAAATCCCTCCTGCATCCCAGTGACAAAACACCAATACCGAGGTTGGGCCAGCTACTGCTGAGAGGGGAGTTTATCTGTTTTTAAGGATGTTAAGAGAAGCTATAAATAAGCAACCTAACTTCCACAAAAGCGATGATTTTATGTATGCATCCCTACCCCTCTTCAGGAGAGGATCTGAGTGTATTTCACAATACTAGCTTTCCTACAATTATAACATTATACAAATATCAACACAAAATTATTTTTTAAAAATTTTAATCAAAAACATGGTAGTGGTTCTGAATCAAATTCCAACAAAGACAGAGAGCACCAGCACTACAACTGGGGAGACTAAGAGCCACAGAAAACTAGAGAAAGGAAATGATACACAACAGCACGAACAGCAAATACCAGCACTTTGGCTTCAGATTGAACTTTTTTAGCCACCACTTTAGAGACATGTAAAATTTATATGTATTCACAACAGGGTGCATTTGCTAAGGGAAGCAAATGTTCTTTCAGAGGCAGCATTAGAATATTTTGGTCAATGAACACAGTCTTTGAAGAGCAGAAGTCATTGGGAACATCCCCATGTTTAGATACTTTTACCTCTACAAGGTCAGTGCAAAGGAAACAATTACCTCTCCTATCACCATACAAGCATCATCCCTTTTTATCCTATAAGGTCTCCTTCTTCTATCAGAAAAGGAGCAAATTGGCACAATCCACAAAATGATCTGCTTGTGCTAAAACCTGAACAAGAAGAAACAACACACGATCCTTCAAATCTTACTTTATGTATTCAATGAAAAATAACAGAAAACAAAGTTTAAATTCTGCCCATATTTTTGGTCAAGATTTTTTTTTATTATTAAAAAACAACCAAACAAGCAAACAAAAAAAAACAAACAAACAAACAAAAAAAAACCACCCAGAAAAAAAAAAACAACACATCAAACCAAATAAAAACCCTACACCTAACAACAACAAAAAAACACCAAAAACCAGGAAGTCTGTATTACAAGCTTTGCTTCAGACACGTCTTACCCAAAAGACTATCAGCTGCCAATTATATGGAAACACCTCATGATATTAAAAAGA